AAATGTATGAATTTATAATTTATTACCTGATAACCAACACTAGTTATCAAACTTTTTAAATTTTGCCAATCTGATAAGTGAAAATTATTTGTTTTGCTGTATATTCAATTATAAATGAAACAGTCTCCCTAAAATTCACATTGGATTTTTCATTTGTTAGAAATTTTTAATCAGTGCAGTTAATTTTTCATCATAAATTTAAAAAATATTTTATGTTAATAGTCTTTCAACTTTATTTAATCTATTTTAATAATTTTATTATCAGTTAAGTTTAGACACAGTAATAGAAATCCAAACAAGAGTAGTGTAACAAAAAAGTGTATTTTTCTCTTACATCTGAAGATGCACCCTCTGTTTTTTTCAGCCGTACTTTGTTCCTCTACTTCAGGGGTTTGCTGGAGTACAAGTTCCAAGCAGGGATATGGGATATAGGGATTAGATAGTTTGACTCTCTCCCCTTTTAGAAGCTTTTCTGAAAGCCTCACTGAATATATTCTACTTTTATTTATTTATTTATTTTTTAAATATATTTTATTGATTTTTTACAGAGAGGAAGGGAGAGAGAGAGAGAGTTAGAAACATCGATGAGAGAGAAACATCGACCAGCTGCCTCCTGCACATCTCCCACTGGGGATGTGCCCGCAACCCAGGTACATGCCCTTGACCGGAATCGAACCTGGGACCTTTCAGTCCGCAGGCCGACGCTCTATCCACTGAGCCAAACCGGTTTCGGCTCTACTTTTATTTTGACAGGTATGTTATTTGGCCACCTCTTATTGTAAGGGGACTGAGAAATGTAGTTTCAGCATCAAACAAAATTGTATTTCAGTTAGTAAGAAAACAGAGGATCATCCATGTTGTTGCATATGACAGGATCTCTTTCTTTTTTTAAAGGTATATAATGTGACATTGTGGGACATTTTTTATATATATCACATACATTTATATACTTAAATACTTACTAGAGGCCCGATGCATGACATTCATGCAAGAGTAGTCCTTCTTTCCCCTGGCTGCCAGCACCAGCTTCCCTCTGGCACCCGGGACCTTTCCTTCCTTCCGACTACCTGCAGGCACCTGGGACTTGGGCTTCTCTTGCAGCCCCAGCTTCATCCGGAAGGTCGTCTGGAAGGATGTCAGGTCTAATTAGCATATTACGCTTGTATTACTATAGATATATATATCACAACTTTTTAATTCATTTTTCCAGTGGATGGACACTAAGGATGCTTCTGTATCTTGGCTGCTGTGAATAGTGTTGCAGTGAACATGGGAGCACTGATATCTCTTTGAGATACTGATTCCATTTCCTTTGTGTATATACTCAAGAGGGGTTGCTGGATCATATGGTAGTTCTATTTTTATTATTATTTTTTTAGGAAATTTCATACTGTTTCCCATAATGGCTATACCACTGTACACCCCCACCAACAGTATACAAGAGTTCACTTTCCCCCACATTCTTGCCAGCCCATTGTCTTTTGTTTTTTTATAATTAGCCATCCTCACAGGTATGAGGTGATACCACATTGATTTTGATTCGATGTTCCTGATGTTTAGTGATGTTCAACACCTTTTTATATACCTGTTAGCTAATTGTATGTCATTTTGGGAAATATGTCCATTCATATCCTTTGCCCATTTTTTAATTGTGTTGGTGGTGGTTTGTTGTTCATGTTTTTTGTTTGTTTTTCACTGTTGACTTGTATGCTCTCATATATTTTGGATTTTAATCTCTTAATCAGATAAATTATTGCAAATACCTTCTCTTATTTTGTTAGGTTATTTCATTTTGTTGATTCCTTTGGTATGCAGAGGCTTTTCAGTTTGATGTAGATGATATGTTAATTAGCTTGACTAGTAGTTATTTCACTGTGTATGTATATATATCAAATCATTGTATTCTATACCTTAACTACATACAATTTTAGTTTTGAAAGATACAAAAATAAATGTAAAAAGTAAAGGAATTTGGAAATAAGGTAGGCAAGTAGCAGTCTCCATGAATAAAATTACTACTTTTTACCTGTATTGCTTCTGGGTTTATCATGTATGTAATGCTTCCAAAAACTTGGTTGTAAAAAGTGAGGTTGCAGACAGTTTTTGTTTTTTTCCTTTCACATGGAGAGTTTATTAATCCTTTCCCCTGTTGATTTTATCCCCTGCTTTGAATGCTACCTTACTTATCTTTTAAATTCTCAGACAGATTTGCTTCTTCTGTCTTCTCTAGTCTCTCCTTTCTTTAGTACCAAACTAAAGAAATACCATGGTTTTGTAAACACCATGATTCTACCATCTGTATGGGATAGGATTAACACCTCTCTCCCAGTTGTTTTTAGTATTTTCTTACCTGTTGTTAAATAATTATTTTTACAAATGAACTTCAGTACTTAATATTTCCTTGTGTTAGCTGCTCTTCACCTTGCCTCCAAAAATCGTGTGTTTTTTTTCAACTGAGAGAGAATTTAATGTATTGGTTAATTTAGGCAGAATTAACCGTTTTACAACCGTGTATTCGTCCCTCAGTAGTTTAATATTTTCTGAAAGGTCTTGTATATTTTTAAATTTTATTTTTAGATGCTTTTCTATTGTTGGAATCTTTTATTCCATTTATGTTTTAATTGTGGTTGTGATAAAATATACATAACAAATTAACCATTTTAATTATTTTTTTAATTCTTATCCAAGGATATGTTTTTATTGATTTTTGAGGGGGATAGAGCGACAGAGAGACAGACAGATATCCATGTGAGAGAAACATCAATTGGTTGCCAGTTGTTTCCCATACACACCCCATTCAGGGATCACACCCATAACCTAGGTATACATACCTTGACCGGGAATTGAACCTGTAACCTTTTGGTATATGGGACCATGCTCCAACCAACCAAGCCACCCAGCCAAGGCTTATCATTTTAACCATTTTTAGGTATATAGTTCAGTGCCATTAAGTACATTCATATTGTTATGCAGCCATCACTACCATCCATGTCAAGAATGTTTTTCATCTTCCCAAACTAAAACTTGGTACTCAGTAGACAATAACTTTCAATTCCCTCCTTCCTCCTAGCTTACTAACTACTGTATCTATTATTTTGACTATTCTAAATACGTCATATAAGTGGAATCATACAGTATTTGTTTCTTTGTGGCTAGTTTATTATACTTAGCATAATATCTTCAAGATTTTTCTATGTTGTGGCATGTCTCAGTTCCCTTCCTCTTTAAGGCTAAATAATATTTTATTATAGATATAGATATAGATATATAGATATATATACATACCACATTTTCTTTATCCATTTACCTGCCAATGGACATTGGGATTGCTTCCACTTTTTGTCTACTGTAAATAATGCTGCTATGAAGATGGGTGTACAAATATCCTTTTGAGTCCCTGATCTCAACTCTTTTGGGTATATATATAGAAAGGGAATTGCATGGTAATTCTGTGTTTAATTTTTGAGAAACCACCCTACTGTTTTCCACAGTGACTGCACTAATTTACATTTTCACCAACAATGCACATGCATTCCAATTTCTCTACATCCTTACCAATACTTATTTTCTGTGCCCTCCCTCCCATGTGTGTGTTTTAATAATGGCCATTCTAATGACTATTAAGTAGTATATTGTGGTTTTGGTTTTCATTTCCATAATGACTAGTGATGTTAGGCATCTTTTCGTGTGTTTATTGCCATTTGTATATCTTCTTTGGAAAAATATTCAAATCCTCTGCCCATTTCTAATCAGGTTGGTTGTTTTTGCCATTGTTGAGTTGTCGGCTTTCTTTTTATATTGGGGATATTAACTCCTTGTAAGATATATAATTTCCAAATATCTCTGATTGTGTGGGTTTCCTTTCCACACTCTTGATAGTGTTTTTTACACAAAAGTGTTTATTCTGAGGTAGCTTCATTAGTTTATTTTTGCTTTTGTTGACAGTGATTTGGTGTTATCCAAGAAATCACTGCCAAATCCATGTCATGAAGCCTCTCTTTATGGTTTCTTCTAAAATTTTTATAAATTTAGGTCTTTCATCCACTTGAGTTAATTTTTGTATATGATGTAAGGTAAGGGTTCAGACTTTATTCTTTTGCATGTTAGTACCCAGTTTTCCCAACATCATTTGTTAAAAAGACTGTCCTTTCTTCATTAAATGGTCTTGACACCCTTATAAAAATCCTTTGACTGTATATGCGAGAATTTATTTCTGGGCTCTCTATTCTATTCTATTGGTCTGTCTGTCTTTGTGCTAGTACCATGCTGTTTTGATTATTGTATTCTAGTAAGTTTCAAGTTGTTTATTTTTTGGTATGAAAGAACACTAGTGACTTTACGTATTAATTAGTAACCAGGTACTTTACTAAACTCTCATATAGTTTTTCAGTTGGTACAAAGATACAATTATGCTTGCAAAAATGATAGTACTTTTCTCAAATTTTATCTTATTTTTGTCTAATTTTATTGGCTTTACATATGCTATGTACATATTTTTTATTTTTCTTGTTTCTGATTTAATGGGAATTTTTCTAATATTTCACTATAGAGCATGATGCAGGTTTTGGGTTGAGACATACTCCTGAGCTTTTGTTTTGTTTTGTTTTTTGTTTCAGAGAGGAAGGGAGAGGGAGAGAAATATAGAAACATCAGTGATGAGAGAGAATCACTGATTCTGCATCCTGCACACCCCACCCCACCCCACACTGGGGATCGAGACCACAACTTGGGCATATGTCCTGACCAGGAATCGAACCGTGATCTCCTGGTTCATAGGTCTATGCTCAGCCACTGAGCCACACTGGCTGGGTCTGAGCTTTTGATGTTGGCATCAAAAGCTTAATTACAGTTTGGCACTTAATTGGAGTTTGTTTCTGTTGCCATTAACAGTTATAAATTGTTGGTCTGAAGTTATCATAAAAGGATTGCCAAGTTTGGGGGTTCTTAAATACAATCTCATGTCAGAGGACCTTAACTATTTGACTTTTTTATTTTTTCAGAATGGTCAAAGTTTTCTGGTTTTGGATGAACAAAGGTTTGCGAAAGAAATACTTCCCAAATACTTCAAGCACAATAACATGGCAAGCTTTGTGAGGCAACTGAATATGTGTGAGTATGGACAGCAGTTTATTTGGAGTACTGTCATCAGCCACTGATTAAACAATTTTTTCCTATTAGAATGATAAAGAGGAAATATACTGCATACAAGCACCATTAAATTTTGACTTCTCTGTTTTAGTCATCTGAATTTTGAATCTTTTTCAGATGGTTTCCGTAAAGTAGTACATATTGACTCTGGAATTGTAAAGCAGGAACGAGATGGTCCTGTTGAATTTCAGCATCCTTACTTCAAACAAGGCCAGGATGACTTGTTGGAGAACATTAAAAGGAAGGTGGGCTATTGTTAACATGATTTAATTAGGGCATTACCATGTCATATACTTGGCTGAGACTTATATCAGTGTTGAAACTGAGAATGTATAGAAATACACTGGTGTTCTTTGTTAGGATGACTTAGACTAATAAAGTTTTAATTATTTCCCCCTATTATTTTTCCCTGGTGCTGAGTTATACTGAGTGCTCAAACACCTTAAAAGGGAAGGAAAATGTTTGCATGCTGACTGAGGATGAGGAGTCATTCATATTGGGATAGCTCACTCCTTTTAATTTAGCTTAAAAAAATGTAAGCTCCTGCTAGAATGTAAATTCCGTGGAGGGCTTTTTATGTAGTTCACTGCTGAATTTGAATGCCCAGAATGAGTCTCTTGTATATAGTAGGCATTTAACAGTACACTTTTTAATGAATTTTTTACTGAAATAAGATATTTTACCAAATCCAGAAAATGGGGGTGGGAGGATAGAGAGGTAAAAAAAGGCAATGGGCCATGAAAGAAAATGGCCTAACAAGCTATTACTGCATAAATTTAATTAGACATGGAATGTGATAATAAAGAGGCTTGGGGAAATTACAGGGAGTTTGACAGAAGGAAATGAAAGGGGGCGGGGCGGGGGGGGGCGGCCCTTAAGGTGTTCCTGCTTGTGGAAACTGGAAACTTACCCACATTTAAAAAAAATAGACTGATTATTCTTTATCCTCTCTCTGAGCTATGAAGTGTATTCTCTCCCTAGAATCTTATCCTCGTCTTTTTGGAACTGGATTAATTTCCTGAACACGCTATAAGAACCTTTTTAATAGGGAAGCTTTGAATTACAGTTATGGCATTTGTTTGACATCCTAAATTTGCTTTTTGAAAGGTTTCATCTTCAAAACCAGAAGAAAATAAAATTCGTCAGGAAGATTTAACAAAAATTATAAGTAGTGCTCAGAAGGTTCAAATAAAACAAGAGACTATTGAGTCCAGGCTTTCTGAGTTAAAAAGGTAAAGTATTATTTTCAAATATAATTCTATTATGGGGTTGGTGTGTTTGTTGTGTGTTGGGAATTGGAGGTTAGTGCTTTAAGTACTTTTAGATCATGTTGTTGAAGCCAAGGCCAAAGATCATTTTTCTGTAAGTATTGGTTCTCTTTATTTTTAATGTGTAGCCATAGACTTTGCCCCAGTATTGTATCTTCATGATGGTGGTCGAAAGAATAAAAAACCTGAGCATTCGAAACAATATTATGCACATGCCGATTTGGTGAAAGAGTAGATCTTTAAATTAGTGTAGGAAATACGATTCTACATAGGTTAGCTTTTTTTCTTTTCTTTTTTAAAAATATATCTTTATTAATTTTAGAGAGGAAGGGAGAGAGAGAGAGAGAAACGTTGATGTAAAAGAGGAACATCAGTTGATTGCCTCCCGCATGCACCCCAACTAGGGACTGAACCTGCAACCTGGGCATGTGCCCTGACCAGGAATGGAACTGGTGATCTTGCGGTGCACAGGATGGCACTCAACCAACTGAGCCACACCAGCCAGGGCTAGGTTAGCTTTTATATGATCACATACATGAGGGCACACAAAGTACTACATGTGCTACCTATTCTTTCTTTTTAAAAACTTTCTGTGTGATCTGTCTCTTAGGAAAAAGTAGGACATAAAAAATAGGGGGAAAAGGACGTAAGTCAGAAAAAGTATAATTTCTTTTTATAAGTATTAAAGTCTCATTTTCGATACCCCTTATTTGTAAATACAGTTCTTTTTGTAGTTTGGATTGAGGAAGATGGCTTTTGTGGAAATTAACAAAAGAATGAATATTAAACATGTAATAGGTGGATTATCTTTTATGTCTTCTCAGCATTATCATTGCTGCTAACATTTAATAGCAATGAAATTTCAATAAATGTTGAATGAAGGAAAAGAAACTATTATTCCTGGTCCAGTTAATTGGTTTGTCATATAGTTGAATATGCTTTTCAAAGACATATTTTTTAGTGTTTTCATACACTTGTTTTTGAGACATCTTAAGATAGACAGTTTTAGAGTCTGACAGACTTTAGTTCAACTTTAACCCTTAGTAAATTTATCTGTGTGATCTTGGGCAAGTCTTCTCAGTTCTCTGTGTCTCAGTGTCCTAATCTATAAAATAGAGATAATAATTCCCTTCCTGATGGATTTGAGAGAAGTTTAAATGATTAGTACATATAAAATGCTTATCATAGTGCCTGGAGCATATTAAGTGCTAGGTAAATATCACTTCCCTTTAAAAATTATTTCCTAAGCACAAGTACTGAATTCACTTGGTAGCCATAGTTGAAAGGTTAGCTTAAACAGGAAATAATGAACCAGATTGTCAGAGGAATAAATTGCCTACTACTATATGGATGGAGGCATGAGCCTTAAGTTTTTGTGAATATAGTGTCATGAGTAGAAGCTACTACCGTTATGAAGGAATGATTCTAGATTTGTGTCAAGATAATTGTCATCTATATAATTGAACCAAAGATTTTCTAGTCTCATAAAAATATATAATAAAAGCTACTTAAATTCTCTGGTATTTTTTTGATCTTTATTTTTAATTTTTAAAAATTGGTTATTCCCATGCCTTTAAATCCACCCCCCTCCCCTCCCCCCTTAGCAACCATCAGCTAGTTCCTTATGTCTATGGTATCCTCTGGTATGCTTAATTAAATATATTGGGACCTGGCTTTTTGACTGAATTTTTATTTTTTTGTTTTTTGTTTTTAAATAAATGATAACATAGTGAGAATGAGTCCCTTTGGAAGGAGGTGTCAGAATTACGAGCAAAACATGCGCAACAGCAACAAGTTATTCGAAAGGTAAGCTTTTTTCCTCATGATCTTAATTGCGTGTGTTTTAATAAGCACCATTTGTGAATACTCTATTGAATAGTCCGTGGTTGATTTTAGTTTCTTATATATTAGGTGCACAGCTAGAAGTAAAATTAGAAATCAAACAAATTAGGCCAAGTGTTAATATTCTTTTTAATAAAAATATTAGCTAAATATAGTAATTTCTTACTCCCAGTTAATATGTCATTAACTTTTAATAAAGAGGCTTTTGCCTGATAGCACAACTTTAGAATATTTTATTCTTAGATGCATAATTAATACACTGCAAATTTCTTACACAGTTTTTACTATAAAAAACAAAGCCTTATTATGTGGGGGTTTTTTGTTCATTTGTTTTTACTATTCTTTTTTTACTTTAAAAGGCATAGATACAGGTACAGAAGATAAACAATATTTTCAAATCAGTCTACCAAATTATGAGTTCAAAAAAATGAGTTATCAATATATGTCATTATTAGTCTTTGCAGAAAAGCAGTTAATATGTTGTAAAATAAATCCTATGTTTTAGTATTTGAGCTGAAAATTGCTGGAGGAACTGAGTCTCTTTGTTGCATTGTATCCTTGTGATTTAAGCTATTCATACCGTCTTTCATATATTAATAAGAGGTGAAACATAAAAGTAATTAAGGTAGCTATTTTTTGCTCATGAGTAAATTGGACTCTAAACAGCAGGGGTTTTTTTGGCGGGGGGGGGGGGTAGTGGGAATGCTTCAGCTTGTCCATGCTCAGAGGTCTTTAGCTAAAAATAGCGTTATGACTGACAGGATTTGAATCTAGTGGAACAGGCTTAGAAGAGAGATGAATGGTAGTGCAACCTTTGGCCTGTGGTCAAAATAGCTTTTTTTTTTTTAAATTATTATGCAAGTGAAGTTTGAATGTAAAATTCAATTCTGAGTCCAAGTTACATATATTTTCAAAACTTTCCATAGCTAATTTCAACATGCAGTCCTGTTAAGAATACCAGATTTAAAATGATAATGTACCTTAACCTGTTACTTTATTTTAAAAATCTGTTCATTTTTCAGAAAACAATATTTTGCTTAAATATTAACTTAAAATATTCTGTAATTTGTTGTTGTTTTTTCCCCTAATGGCAAGAATAGTTTGTAAAATATTTATATAACATTTCAATTTTTCATGAAAGCTTACATTCTATCTGCTCAGATTTGAGTTTGAATCTATGTGTTTTGTTGGAGGTTAGGGAGTTTATATAATGCATGATGATAGGCAACCATTTTTTCCTCTATTCCTGGAATTGGTTTTTAATTCTGCAATTTACTCTTGGCCTTAGATTAATTGAAAATAGTGTATGTGAGTTACCTGTTATAGGACTTGTCAGGTGCAGAAGTCAGATGTGGTGTATGTTAGATCCTCATCTTCTTCAGGTTATAAAGAAGATGAGGCATCTAACATGTATTACATGTGCAGTGAGATGGCAGAAGTGTAAAAAGAACTGAGATGTAGAACGAATTTCAGAAGAAATTTAGCCAGTGATTCATGTTCTTAAAAATTCAATTACTAATGTTTCTAGAATTTTCCCATGACACTTTTTTATAAATGAAAAAAAAAACAATTGAAGTTGAATGATTTCAAAGATACCTTTAAGCATAAATGTATTTTCGTCAGCTCTCAGCATTTTCTTTGAGTAAGCAATTTAGTGGCTAATGTTTTCATATACTCTAATGTCTGACTCTTCAGTTTAAAAGTTTATATTTTGAAGTGATTAAGGAAAAAAAGAAAATAAGGAAAAAACCAAACCCCCATAGACAGACATCTATATGGAGATTATCAGAGGGAAAGGAGGGTTAGCTGTGGTGGTGGAAGGAAACTTGACTTGGGGTGGTGAACACACAATATAGTAGTACAGCTGATTTATTAAAGAATTGTACCCCTGAAACCTATATAATTTTATTGACCAATGTCACCCCAATAAATTTAATAAATTATTAAAAATAAAATGAAATGTTTATATTTCTTTTCCATGAAAAAGCTCATATTGATTTGTAACGCAAACTATTTAGTAACTTCTTTTGGGGAAAACACATATTAAAGATATACAATAGGTTTTTTATTTGACATTTCTTTATTTTAATCATGAAATTACATTTCACAAAGCTTACAAGAAACTTTTCTGCACAGAGTCCATATTGTCCCCCAATCCCTTTTTTCTTTATTCGTAGCCTCTATACTGTTTTTCATTCTCCATGTGATACTCACTTTTTTAGCTCCTTTAGGAAGTTACAGTATAATTTCAAGGCATACCATACCATAAATGGTTCTCATTCACATTAGTACCATCTGGAGCTGGGCCGCCTCCTCAGAATTTAAGATTTTAGCAATTTTAGAGTTGGGCTAAGAATTTGCATGCAATGCTGCTGCTCCATTAAGAAATCCTGTCATAAAGTATGAAGGAATGTGGCATATCTTTCTCTGTTTAATAGTTTTCTTCCAAATGTAATCGCACTTAGTGCCTCAACAGTTTTTCTAGAATCAGCCAATAAGCTTTCTAACTTGAACATTTTATGATCTATTTTTCTTTTGAGTAAGCAATTTAGTGGCAAAGAGTTAGCAATTTTTTTTTTTTACTTCTAATTATATTACCTGGTGTAAGAAAAATGTTGCCTGTCAAACACCAGTTGTTGTTTTTGTTTGTTTGATTTTTGCATCATAATATTCTTGAAAGAATTTTAAAAGTTGGGATCTGTATTCAGGCATGCTTGATAAGTATCACCAAAACAAATACTAACTGAACTGAATATTGGATATGTAAATGGATGGGTTGATGGGTGGGTTAGGCATTCCTATCCTAGGTAGTAGCAGCTTTATCTATCGCAGGTTATTCTTCTATACCAATTTTAAGATGCATCCAAATTTCAAATGTGCTAATATAGGAGAAATTATGTGACTTGGAATAGAGGACATGCAATATATGAATTAATTTTGTAAGATGTGTAATGTGGACTAAAGAACTGGGAGTCTATGATGGAAAAAATTATATTTATATTTTCCTTTTAGATTGTCCAGTTTATTGTTACATTGGTTCAGAATAACCAGCTTGTGAGTTTAAAACGTAAAAGGTAAGATTTTATGATAAAATATTTTGACCTACACATGGACAACCAAAAATTTTAGTGTTTAACCATAAATGGCCTACATTTGCTGAGTGTATGCCCATTTTCCTGGATGAACAGTCCTCCCTTGTTAAATTACACTCATGTTTCAAGAATATGTTACTTCCTCGTGCTGTCATCCTGCTCATGTTTTTTAAAGATAAGGTTAGCCTAAATGATCACTTTACAAATACAATTAATAAAGAATCTGTATTTAATTACATTAGCAACTTAATGTATCTTTAGAAAACCTGAGTGAAATTTTTTTAAAAGGTTATATCTTTTAAAAAGAAAACAAATTTTTTTACTTGATCATATGTTTAATGTACTCATAAGGTCTTTAAAAGACTGTATGTCAACCATGGATTGTGGTACCTATAATTGTCAGTAACTACCATTGTTACAACTAATACATAAGAGTAATAGACAAAGGAATATTTGGAAGAAGAAAAAGATTATCTTGTAAGGCTAAGATTTTAGCAAAGCTTGGTTATGCTTACAGCTTATGCAGTGGCCTTAATTAACCTACTTCCACTAATTAGTTCTTATGATACTACCTATTTATTTTTTACCATGTAAGCACTGTTCTTAAAACTAGACCACCAATTTTACACCATACACAAAAATAAACTCAAAATGGATAAAGGACTTAAACGTAAGATTTCGGGAAACCATAAAAATCTTAGAAGAAGCCATACGTAGCAAAATAGCAGACATTTGTCGTAGCAGTATCTTTACCCATACAGCTCCTAGGGCAATGGAAACTAAGGAGAAAATAAACAAATGGGACTACATCAAAATGAAAAGCTGCACAGCAAAATAAACCATCAACAAAACAACAAGAAAGCCCACTGCATGGGAGAACATATTTGCCAATGTTATTCGATAAGGGTTTAATCTCCAACATTTATAGGGAACTCATACAACTTAACAAAAGGAAGATAAACAATCCAATCAAAAAATGGGCAAAGGACCTAAATAGACACTTTTTGAAAGAGGACATATAGAAGACCAAGATCTATATGAAGACATGCTCTAAGTCACTAATCATCTGAGAGATGCAAATCAAAACAACAATGAAGTACCATCTCACACCTGCCAGAATGGCTATCATCAACAAATCAACAAACAACAAGTACTGGAGAGGATGCGGAGAAAAAGGAACCCTCCTTCACTGCTGGTGGGAATGCAGACTGATGCAGCCACTGTGGAAAACAGTGGCGTTCCCTCAACAAATTAAAAATGGAACTGTCATTTGACCCAGTAATACCACTTTTAGGAATATATCCCAAGAAAACAGAAACACCAATCAGAAAGGATATATGCACCCTCATGTTCATAGCAGCACAATTTACAATAGCTAAGATTTGGAAGCAGCCTAAATGCCCATCAGCCGATGAGTGGATTAGAAAACTGGTACATCCACACAATGGAATACTATGCTGCTATTAAAAAAGAAGGAATTCTTACCATTTGCAACAGCATGGATGGAACTGGAGAGCATTATGCTAAGTGAAATAAGCCAGTCAGTGAAAGATAAATATCAAATGATCTCACTCATTTGTGGAATATAAAGAACATTATAAACTGATGAACAAAAATAGATACAGAGGCAAAGAAGCATCAAACAGACTGTCAAACTACAGCGGGAAGGCAGGAGAGGGTTGTGGGTGTGGGTAAGAGATCAACCAAAGGACTTGTATGCATGCATATAGGGATAACCAATGGACACGACACTGGGGGGTGGGTGGTGAGGGCATGTGCCGGGGGTTAGGGGAGACCGGGAGGAGGTCAATGGGGAAAAAAGGAGACATGTACTACTATTTGTAATACTTTAAATGATAAAATTAAAAAACAAAAAGCAAAAATTAAAAAAAAAGAATTATATAGTTCAGTCAGCAATGAAACATATCTGGAGAGAGTAGTTTGTTACATTTATTATAGCAAAAGTAGTAAAAATGAATGAAGAAATAAGTTTTTAGGCACACTGATCCCCCAGTTTCTATTTCTAAGATATAATCATTTTTAAGAGTTTCTTTTGTATCCTTACTAAAATTTATTTTATCCTTACTATTCATTATTATCATGAGTGTATTTGTAGTAGAAGCAGCTTAAATTCCTTGTATGTTTGCTTCATAGATATCTTTTGATTTTCAGGCCTCTACTTCTGAACACTAATGGAGCCCAAAAGAAGAATCTATTTCAGCACATAGTCAAAGAACCAGCTGATAATCACCATCATAAAGTAATTTTTTGTTAACTTTTATATTTATTGTCTCAAACTAATTTTTATTAATAGTTACATTTCATGCATTCAAAGAAGTTTATTGAGTAATAATCTAAGTGCTCATCGTCCAGCTTTATTAAATCATTAGAGGCCCGGTGCACGAAATTCATGCACGGGGTCGGGGTGGTGGGGCCCCTCAGCCCAGCCTGCATCCTCTCCAGTCCGGAATCACTTGAGGGATGTCCAACTGCGGTTTAGGCCCGAACCCGGGGATTGGGCCTAAACCGGCAGTCGGACATCCCTCTCACAATCCTGGACCACTGGCTCCTAATCGCTCACCTGCCTGCCTACCTGGTCACCCCTAACTGCCCCCTGCTGCCAGCCTGATTGCCTCTCACTGCCTCTGCGTGCCTACCTGATCGCCCCTAACTGTCCCCTCCCTGCCGGCCTGGTCACTCCTTACTGCCCCCCCTGCCAGCCTGGTCACCCACAACTGCCCCTCTCTGCCCGCCTGGTTCCCCCTAACTGCCCCCCCACCCCGCTGGCCTGGTTGCCCCCAGCTCCCCCCCCACTGGCCTAGTTGCCCCTCACTGCCCCCCCCTGCCAGCCTAATTGCCCCCAACTGCCACTCACCCCCTGCCGGCCTGGTCACCCCTAACTGCCCCCGCCCCCCGCCGGCCTGGTCACCCCATGCAGCCTGCTGTTCAGTCGTTTGGTCGTCCTTCACAAACCTCCCTGCCGGCTGGTCATAGGCAGCCATCTCGTGAGGGTTAATTTGCATACTACCTCTTCATTATATAGGATGACTTTTTTCATTGTTTGCATTAGATTATTTTAAGAGCTAAACCATTATAAATATAGCTGTCTCAGTTGCCTGTTCCCAAGTTTGTTTTTCTCCCCCGTCTAGTCTCCCGTCACCTAGAGATAATCACTGTTTTGAATTAGTATTTATTATTTCCATAGTCATTTTATATGTGTGAATCCATGAATATTTGTTTTTATATATATCTACTAAACTTCATACAAATGATATCATTTTATACATATCATTTTGCCTTGTGGCTTTTTTCACTTGGTCTTACTTTTGAGATTTATTTAATCGAGAATTATTTCATCTCAATTACTATATATTAATTGAATATTATGATAATGTAATTATGCCTTCATCCATTGGTTAAAGTTATTTCCAACTTTTATCATAAATATACACAGACTAGACTTTTTTACTATAGCAAGTTTAAAGAGTATTTTTGTGTCCTGGCCAGCATGGCTCAGTGGATTGAGCGTTGGCCCATGCACCAAGAGTCCAGTGGTTCAGTTCCCCGATGCCTGGATTGCAGGCTCTCCCCAGGGAGAGGCATGCAGGAGGCAACCAGTCAATGTTTCTGTCTTCACTCCTCCTCCTTTCCTCTCTAAAAATCAATAAAAACATATTTTTAAAAAAATATTTTTGTTTACCTTTATTTTTGTCATAGGCTCACTGGATAATTTGTCAAACTTACATCCAGTGGAAAATTAGTCCAGTCCAGGGTCCAGGCTTCTTTAGTATCTGATTATCAATGTTACTTTCAAATCTTAGAATTTTAAATACTGTTAGACACTTATCATTAAAGTTTCAAGATTTTTGTTCTCAGGAAAATCAGAGTTAACCTAACATCTGGTTCCTCTTCCCACCACTGTTTCTAATCAAGAATATCTAATACTTTGTTTTTAGGATGGAAGATTCATGTATGAGATTTTTATTTTAACTCGATTTATATATTTTTTAAAGACTTTACATATTCTGCCTCTATACTTTCTAGTGTTAAAATTGATAGATTTTTGCTTTATAATAATGACTTCAGTTTGCTTTAAAGAATTGAATGCTTTTTTGTTAATGTACCTATGGTCTGACTGTAGCTTATCTTTAAAAATAATCATTACTAAAATACCAGGCTGTTATTTAACTGGAATAGTTGAAGGTTTTTTGTTTTTCTATTTTGAAACCATTTAATGAGTAAGAAAAAATATGTATCAAACAGAGTATCTTGAGTTGAAATAGTACTCATTAGCATAGTGCCCTTCTGTTTATGCTTGAAAATTTCTGGTGAAATCCTGACGTTTTAGCTTTGGGGTATAGAAAAATACTTGAAAATTTGAAGCTCTTTCTTATATAAGCATTCTGAGGCATGCCATCTTCGAGGTCCTTTTAAAAAAAATAGTTAAGTAGAATGCAAAGAATATACCTTATACCTCTGCACTACTAGTACTAATTAGTGTATAAGTCCAAGAAGAGCAGTGAATATATCCGTTTTGCTTACTATTGTATTGTCAACATTTAATAACTAGTAGGTTCTCAATTAGCATCTTTAAATAATGTTTTGGAGTTAACATAATTTCATTTTTTTATGTATTTTTTTCTCCCTGATTTTTTAGGTTCCACACAGTAGGACTGAAGGTTTAAAACCAAGGGAGCGGATTTCAGATGACATCATTATTTATGATGTTACTGATGATAATGCAGATGAAGAAAATATCCCAGTTATTCCAGAAACTAATGAAGATATCATATCTGATCCCTCCAAGTAAGGAGATTGAGAAATAACATTTATGAAAATAGTTACTTTTCTTACCAAAGAGCTAAATTCAGAAACACTTTATTCTTCGATGAACCAATATCTGACTCATGTTTGGGTTATTAAACTGAAAAATTAAGCCAAATTATTCAACCAGATATCCCTCCTCACCCCACCCCCACCCTTCCACCCCCCAGCAAAAAGACTCAACAAAAAACTAATGAGAATTCTGATTTTTTAATTTTGTAGTTAAACAGCTTTAATTGATTCTTTGTGGTCTTATATCGTATGAACTATCAATATTTGTGATTAAGATACTCCCCCAAGAAATTTAAGCCTTTTTATATGTGGTTTGGGGAGAGAATTTCCAAGGAAAAGGAATGGATAGAATTAATTTATTGAATTGGTCTGTAATTGGTTCTTTCTCCTATTGTTGATATAGCTGTAGCCAGTACCCTGATATTGTCATTGTTGAAGATGACAATGAAGATGAATATGCACCGGTCATTCAGAGTGGAGATCAGAATGAACCAGCCAGAGAATCCCTAAGTTCAGACTGCAGATGATCCTGTTACCATGATGGATTCCATTTTAAATGATAACATCAATCTTTTGGGAAAGTGAGTGTTCATTTAGATGTCTAAATTTATTTTCTTTCTTTCATGTATTCTCTTTCTCATTTAGATGTCTAAATTTATTTTCTTTCTTTCATGTATTCTCTTTCTCTTTGATTGACCTTCCTTTCACATTATGAACCCATGTAGTCTACCTTTCTGTGTTTTGGTCAGGGCTGAGCTCCACAAATGCTGTTTTGAGAAGGAATTAATCATTCCAAGAGTAGTTTTGGGATTTTTTTGGCAGTTCCTCAGATTTTCTTAATAAAATATTTGTTTTGAATGTCCATAAAGTATATGTGATTGTATTTGTGTTTATATCAGGATAATGGAATAACATACCTCTATTAAGGGACTTATTTTTAGCATTAAAAAACACACAGAAATTAGTAGCAGTGACCAGTAATAAGAAGTTAAACATTTAATAATTTATAATATAGAGGAAAGAAAGAAATCAGACTGTTTTTGCAAAACCTTTTTTCTGTAAACACTAAAGTTTTATGTAAAAGTGCTGTGAGTTCTTGGTTAACCAAATTTTTAGGAATCCCAAATACTGAATAGGACCTCTAAGATAATTGGTAAGGATTCCACTTTTGCTGGAAATGTTTTGCCTTGCTAGATTGCAGTGTAATTTAAACATAAAAACAGGAAAATCTAATTGATTTCTTTTTTAAAAATCTTTTTCCTTAGGGTTGAGCTGTTGGATTATCTTGACAGTATTGATTGCAGTTTAGAGGACTTCCAAGCCATGCTGTCTGGAAGACAGTTTAGCATAGACCCAGATCTCCTGGTTGATGTAGGTACTTTGAATAATCTTAGCTGTACTGGTAGTTTGTGTCTCTGTGTATGTTATTTATAAATCAGTATATCATTTTCTTGTATTCTACACTTGTTTTTGCATTTAAAAAAAATAATGGTTTTGTTTATCAGAAAGATTGAACAGATGGGTTCAAGACAATGAAGGAAGGTAATCACTACCCATCTATAAATAGCAGTTCAGTTAATCCCCCTGTAACAACATATCAACTCTGTTCAACAGTACTATTAAGTCTTGTCTGGACTTGTTGCTGTATTATGGTTTTCTTTAGAATAAATTTTCATTGAATAGAAACTGGTGAAAGTTACTAATAGAGATATGTGGCCAGAAAACAGCATGAAGGCACTTACTAACTTTGGGAATTAACATTTTCTATTCAAATGTATTATACTTGATATATTTTTATAATGTGTGTGTCCTGTGTCCTAATGTTCTCCTGCTTCAGTCCCCACTACCACCTCTATGAACTTGACTCCAGTGTTGTCTGGTCTGTGAATCCTCATCTACCATTCCTGGCACTAACCACCTTTCTTGTTCTCGTCCCTTGTGTAACTATTACCCCTCTTCCCCTTGCCTAAAGCTTCCTTTGTGACCTGCTCCCATCCAGATGAATCTGGTTCTCTCCCCATTTTCATTTTCTGTTGTGAACATATTTCTGCCTTTTGAAGGTTTTGACATATTTTTTTTCTACTTAAAATGCTTCTCTCATGTCAAGAGTGTACAGTTTTGTCCTTTGAAGAGCTTCTCAATGAGGCTAAAAGGAATTAGTTCTTTCTTCCTCTTCAATCTTAATTGACCACCTTATCTCTCTACTCATCAGTCTGTGTGTCATAAGACTTTATCATCTTTCCCAAACACTCAGTGCCTCTCAGGATGGATTTCATCTTCTTTGAAGACTTCTTTTCCATGCCAATCTACGTTACCATCTTAAGTGAATTCAGCATCCATGTTAATGACCTACTTCAACTTGTTAACAGTAACTTGACTTACCTTCTTGATTCTGTCAGTCTTAATCCCCACTCTGAATCCAGGTTCCTTTTAGAGTATCTGTCCCTTAGATCACTAAGAAAAAAATAAAATCCTATAACCTCTACAAATCCTTGTAATCTTCAACTAGGTTATTTTAATTCAACTTTGAAACATTTATCATACTCGTTTGTCCTCAAGACCTCATCCAGCCAACTATTTCCTATTCACAAAGGATAATTCACCTCTTCCTGGTCCTCTCATAAGATGTGGAATCTCATCTTACAGGAAGTACTTCCTCTTTAAAGCCAATTTGTACACATCCCCCTGCATCTTTGTTTTTCTATCTCTATCCTTGATCTTTCCCATCTGCCTTTAATGCTTCCCCATCTTAAAAAGCATTTTGATATGTTGCTCTGCTCATTTACCATTCTGCTTTTCTAATCCTTTCACTCATTTAGAAATGAGTGGCTATATGTGTTACTTCTTTTTTACTCTATATTTCATTTGAAACCCTGTATTATCTTCTTATTTACTCTAAGCTTGTGCTGCCTTGGTTTATCCATAGTAAGTAGGCTGTGATTTCCTGCCCCCCCCACCCCCAATTAAGGTCACTGGGCTAGTGGAAGAACATTTGTTTTGAATCAGATTTGGGTTCTACGTTTGGCTCCTCTTACTATACTAGCTATGTTATTATTAACCTTGGAAAAATTAAGCTCTCTTTCCAAGTTTCCCTGTCTATAAAATGTAGCTAATGCCCAGAAGAGCTGTTATAAGAATTATAAGTAATTAGCAGTATTATTATTTATACTATTGATTTTCTAAAACAGAACTTGTTCTGTTGATTTTAGAAGCCCTTGGACCTTTGTTATCTCCTGTCACCCTAAACATTCTCCATTTCCTCTAAAAACTGTTTTTTTTCCTGCTGTTTTCTACTTCTACTTGGGTCTTCCCCAAAGGTACTCAGTCTTTTATCCTCTTATTTTCTATTCCTCTCCCTTTTCTGTCCTTCCTCTCTGAAGGGATTTGTGCTTGTAGAATTGCTCTCAAATGTATATCTCCAGCTCTTAATACTTTTTAAAGTAAACTTACTTGAATTCTAAGTCCATGCCTTTAAGAGTCATCAGATCTTGCCTTAGATTCTGTTTAATACCAAATTTTTTTTTATTCTCTAAGCTAGATACCCCTTGTAGATTTTTAATTTTCTGTAGTGATACCAGACTTCACTCACCCAGGATAGTAATCACAGAGGCATCTTGGCTTCCTGATCTTTATCTCATCATTCAAGTCCTGAGTATTTTTCAAAATAGCATTCACAAGCTATTGTGAAAGTCCAGTTATGAGTGATCCCATGTGGAGTCAGCAGAAGAGGTCTGGCCATAGAATTCAACCCAACTATGTCAGCTCCTCCTCTTGATCTACTTTTTTTTAGTTCAGACTATGCATCTGCTGGGAATACATGAAGGCAATCCTGAGTCAATGTGTAGGAGGAATGGGGCAAAGAATGAGTGGGGATCTTTCACTGTTGGGCCTCTTTAGATGCCACTCTCTTTAGGAACAAAATCTGGTTAGGCCTCTAAGCTGAACTGCAGAGACTGGCAGTCTCCTATAGCTATCTGACCCGAGTCTCTTCCTCTTCGAAGATCAGTAGGTGATAAAGTTAATGAAAGAAAAGAAGGAGCTGGGATATCTTTAGGTCTACCATGAATGTGGAACTTTGAGAGAATCAGTGTCTAGATAGAATAGAGGAGGAACCTGCCTGTGGCCTCTGTATTTCATTGTATCCTGTGAACCGTTTGTTGTGCTTGTTCTCTGGAAATACTGAAATTGCCAAATTTCACTGCTCCATCCACTTATTACTGTGGAGAGAATGTGGTCTTGTTCCCTGACTGGCCTTGCTTTACTTTTTGAACCTTATGTACACAACTTACTATTCAACTTAGAACTTGTGTGTTATTTGGACTGGTCATCTTCTTGGTTATTGCTAATGTCATAATGTATTCTTTTCTCCTTCCTTCCTTTCCAAGTCAACCATTCCCCAGGGACTGATACATGTTGCATAGCTTTATCCAGATATTTTGTTTATTCTGTGTATGTATGTGCATGTTTGTGTCTGTGTGTTTTTCTTCTTTCTTTCTCTTAACTCCTTAGTACTTTTTAGCTCCACCATTCATTATTATTATAATACGGATTGTATATGATCATATGTTACTATTTGCTGTTGTTCTTGTCTTTTAGATTGTAAGCTCCTGAAGAGCAGGAATAGTGTATTCATTTTATATTCTTTATGATGTTAATTATTATATGGTCAATAAATCCCTATGGAATGAATGACTTTGACACTTAACAATTTAAACAAAAGTTATGTCAGTAAATTGGCCTGAGGAGTACAGTAAGCAGTGATTTTAGCATTTATAGCTTCCCTTGCTAGGCGAGGTGAAAAGAACCAGTAAGGAGGTATGCCATTTGTAATCTAGGAGCCACTATCATAGAACAGATTCCATAAATTTATCACATGATTAGCAAATAGTCAGTGAAGACAGTGTCAGGGCAATGAACTCAGTCCTGGTTGGCACTTAAGGCCCGAGGCATTTAGGGAGAAGAAAAATAAAGGAAATGAAGAAGGGAGCTGTGGAAAACCACCATTTGTCTCAAGTTTTTACTTTATAGTTTTATAGAGAAACTAGAGGCCCAGTACACGAAATTCATGCACTCGTGGGGTAGGGGGGTTCCTCAGCCCAACCTGCACCTTCTTGCAGTCCAGAAGCCCTTGGGGGACATCCAACTGACGGCTTAGTGCTGCCACGGAGCCCAGCTTCTGGCTCCCCCTGTGGGAGCGCACTGACCACCAGGAGGCAGCTCCTGTGTTGAGTGTCTGCCCCCTGATGGTCAGTGTGCGTCATAGAGACCAGTCGTTCTGCCATTCAGTCGATTTGCATATTAGCCTTTTATTATATAGGATTCTTTACAATGTCTAATTCATGGGCTAGCTTGCTCTGTTTTCCTTTCTGCTTTTCTCTTCCCAACTTATTTTACTCTATAGGAGCTTCCTAGTGCAGGAACTACATCTCTTCACCCAACATGGCTGTATAAAAATTTTGAATACAGATAGCTTTTTATTATTTTTTAAACTTACCATCTTTCTTGTTTGGTCTTTCAGCTTTTCACTAGTTCTGTGCAGATGAATCCCACAGATTACATCAATAATACAAAAGTAAGTTTTAATTAACGTTGCTCAGGACCCATAGCTATACGAATTTTTAAAAAGTCTTAGTAAGCATAGAGCAATACCTCTCCCAGTTACAAATCATTTTCTATTACCTAATATGTGTGATCAAGATAGTAAAATTCCAGATGAAAAATTAGCTTTTGGTTATGGGGTGAATTATTACCCAGTTTTGCTGGCACTTAACTATCAGTACCATTAACTATTAGTATGAAATCAGCCCTCAAAGTGCTGGGAGATCACTTGATTAAACTATTTGAAACTGTTAATCTAGAACTCAAATTTAATTTTTCTATGTATTTTGGAGCAATATGCATTTTGCTGTTTAACTATTTAAGGTATTGGTTTTCAGAATAGGGAGGAGATCCAAGAATAAAGAATGACACACTGTATACAAAAAATAAATACTATATCACATCACTAAATAAATGCAAGACATGGGTTCATTCAACTTAAGATCTAACATTTAATAATATCATATTTACTGAAACATAGTGCTGAAATGGTCCATAGAATCTTATAACATAAATCTAGGCAAACTATGGTCCACATGACAAATTCAGCCATGCTGCCTGCTTTTGTAAATAAGTTTTATTGAACACAGCCACCCTTGTTCTTTCATGTACTGCCTATGGCTGCTTTTGCACAAAAATTACAGAGTTGAGTAGTTATGACAGAGAACACATTTATATATGTATTTATATTTACTAACTGGCCTTTATAGAAAAAGTCTGCCAACCCCTAACGTAAATCATCCAAAGTGAATGTATAATTTCTGATTCAAAGTTCACAAATTCTTTCAACTCTAAATTACCCAGGATTAGAAACTACCAAAAACAATGACACATCAACTGCTATTCCCTTGCTCATGACAGATATTATGTGACATGGATTACAATACTCTTTCCTAATAAATCAGGATACTCCTCAATACAGGACTCTAAGTGGCCCCTACTAATGAATAAGAGTTTGCATGGGAGTTGAAACCCATTTGTCATCCTTGTTCTCATATGTTTTAGTGGTATCCTTGGAAAATACCTATTTGAGGAAGTATAAAAATAATGGTATTATTGCTTTAATATTTATTGTGAATGCTAACTAAGAAATATTTTAATGTAAGTTTTTGGAAAGGCATAAGTTGTTATTATATCGTGGCGTTGTTATTCTTTCTGAATCCTGGAACTCATACTGCTTTATTTTACAACTAGAGGCCCGGTGCACAAAAATTTGTGCACTCGGGGGTGGGGGGGTCCCTCAGCCTGGCCTGTGCCCTCTCGCAGTCTGGGACCTCTCAGGGGATGACCACCTGCTGGCTTAGGCCTGCTCCCCGGGGGATTGGGCCTAAGATGGCAATCAGACATCCCTCTGGCAGCCCAGCAGCCCGGCAGCCCTCGGGGGATGTCCACTTGCCAGTGGGGAGCAGGCCTAAACTGCAGTCGAACATCCTTAGCGCTGCTGAGGAGGCAGGAGAGGCTCCCACCACCACCGCTGTACTGGCAGCCATCAGCCTGGCTTGTGGCTGAGCAGAGCTCCTCCCATGTGAGAGCACCCTGACCACCAGAGGGCAGCTCCTGCATTGAGCATCTGCCCCCTGGTGGTCAGTCATTCCCAGTCCTTCTGCTGTTAGGGTCAGTTTGCATATTACCCTGTTACTATATAGGATAGAGGCCTGGTGCACGGGTGGCGGCCGGCTGGTTTGCCCTGAAGGGTGTCCCGGATCAGGGTGGGGGTCCCGCTTGGGTGCCTGGCCAGCCTGGATGAGGGAATGATGGCTGTTTGCAGTTGGTCACACCCCCTTCAGGGTGGGGATCCCCACTGGGGTGCCTGGCCAGTCTGGGTGAGGGGCTGAGGGCCGTTTTCAGGCTGGCGGGTGACTGAAGCTCCCAACCTCTCCTTTTTTTTCTTTTTTTTTATTCTGGGATTTATTTACCTTCTATGGCTGTCACTGGAGCTGAGAGCCGGCTTTAGCTCTGAGGCTTGGCTCCAGCTCTGAGACCTCGGCTGCTAAAAGCAGATATCTGGGCTTTGTTTAGCTTCTATAATTGAAACACTGTTGCAACTCCAGCTCTGAGGCCCGGCTGGCTGAAAGCAGGTTTCTGGGGTTTGTTTAGCTTCTATAATTGCAACATAGTTGCTTAGAGTGCAGCTCAGAGCTGGGCAGCGGCAGGCAGGGAACCTTGGCTTCCTCCATCACTGGAGTAAGCAAGCCTCCTATTCGCTTCAGCTGCCTGGCTACCGGCCGCCATCTTGGTTGGCAGTTAATTTGCATATCGCCCTGATTAGCCAATGGGAAGCGTGTCGGAGGTACGGTTAATTACCATGTTTGTCTATTATTAGATAGGATGAATATCAGGGAATTACTGGAATTAGTGTGTGTGTTACACCATATGTACCTAACCAGCATCAGCTATCTGGGATTTACAGCTATTGAGGAGAAGTTGTGAACCTCTCCACCTCACTTTGAATATCCTTGAAAAGAGCACTGAAGAATTTAACAGCATTAGTGACTTAATTCCCTTACAATCATATGTAAGGAGAGAAGACATCGCTGGTTGAAAGAAGCAAATTTAAATGACAGAAAAGAACTGAAAGAGCCACATGAAGGAAATGAAGAACCACCTCAACTTTGAGGCTTCCAAATATAGGGATAAATAGTTTTAGGATGTCATGGTGTTATCTTCAACTATTCTAAATGTGTTCATTTACTCTGTGAATGAAATGTGTAATACATTTTTAATGAAAACTTTAAAATTGGTTTGTTTCAAGAGTGATCTCTTTATTAGAAGTTTGAAACCAGCCATCTTTGACTTATTCCCATCTTTTGTCCTTGACAAATTCTGTGTTTTCTGCTGTTGAAATGCTCCCTCTTTTTCATACTATTGTCATCCTAGTTCAGGATCTTTGTTTCATCCACTTGATGACAGCAATAGCTTTTTAAATCAGTCTTGTTACCTCTACTCAAATCTCTCTCTCTAGTGCGTCTTTCCTGGTGCTCCCCCTTCCCATATATGTCAGATAATATACCAATATTCACATACAGTTTTTTTATTTTTTGCTATTTTCAGGAACATGAAAAAGTATTTTTGTTGTTTTTCTCTCTTTTAGTCGGAGAATAAAGGATTAGAAACTACCAAGAACAATGTAGTTCAGCCAGTTTCAGAAGAGGGAAGAAAATCTAAACCCAAAACAGGTAGGTATAAATGTAGTACTAATTTCTATAGAATTTCAAAAGTAAAAGTCCTACATAGAAGCTAATGCATGCCAATGAACTCCTTGCCATTCTTAACAATTGAACACAGATATATTGATCTCAGTTCTCTGCATAATGGTTCCAGCATACAGAGAAAATTGAATTGGTGAGGTAATAGTTCTTAAAATTTAAGTTGTGTGTGGGTTTTTTCTACTTAACTTTAAAAAGAACCTTCATTTCTTAATTGTTGAATAAAAGACTAACTTTTCTGACTTGAACATCTTTTAATTTACTGACAAATACCTTATTTCTTATTTTGTTGGGTTAGTGATTATACATAAGTAGATCTCTGTTTTTGTATTTTCCACTTGCATCTTGAACTCTGTATAAGCTGGTGATAAAAGTGCTTTTTTTCTAATCATTGTTATAGATAAACAGCTTATCCAGTACACTGCCTTTCCACTTCTTGCATTCCTTGATGGGAACCCTGCTTCTGCTGTTGAACAGGGGAGCACAGCATCATCAGAAGTTATGTCCTCTGTAGATAAGCCCATAGAAGTTGATGAGCTTCTGGATAGCAGCCTGGACCCAGAACCAACCCAAAGTAAGCTTGTTCGCCTGGAGCCGTTGACTGAAGCCGAAGCTAGTGAAGCCACACTGTTCTATTTATGTGAACTGGCTCCTGCACCTCTGGATAGTGATATGCCACTTTTAGATAGCTAAATTCCCAAGAAGTGGACTCTACATGTATATATTCATCAAAATGATGAACTATTTATTTTAAAGTATTATTTGGTACCCGTTTTTTTGTAAATTGCTTTGTTTTGTTTTAATTGGATACTGTGGAATCAAAAGCACCTTTTGCTTTTCTCACTAACCACACAGTCTTGCAAAGCTTTCAGATACTACTCAGCTATATAGGTACACAAAATGTAATGCACATTATTGCATATCTTTAAGTTGGATTCAGGTGGGCATTTTTTTCTGATTGTAGTAAATTTGAATTATTTTTTATATATATGCCCATTAACCCAGGTTAAACTTTTATTTGTTTTACTTGTTTGATGCTGTCTGTTGGCATTGAGTGTAAGTCACTAAAATTAATGGTAGAACTCCTAAAGCTTTCTCTGTTCCAATTACTTTTACTAAGTATTTTTCACTTGGCTTATTTTTAAAACTGGGAACATAAAGTGCCTGTATCTTGTAAAACTTCATTTGTCTCTCTTGGTTCAGAGAAGTTCATTCATGTTCATCAGGAAAGGCAAAGTATACATGAGTGCTTGCTGTCTGATATGGTTCCAGTTCTGTATACCTAGAAGGGGATGGGATGGTGTCAGCCCAATCCACCTAGTTGGACTAGTTTTAAGTAAAAGTTTTTGGTTTGTTTTTGAACCATAATATTTAGTAAAATAAATATAATGAATGTTGCATTCTAGTGTTTATTATGTGTCTTCTTTGGAGGTGACATCCACATGAACCATTTTTTTTTCCTTTTCATACGAAGTAGATAGACTTACACTGTAAACTGTATTGTCCTTTCTTAATATGAGTTACATCATGATCTTTGTGCCTCATCTCAAAAGATAGACTGTATTGCAAAAAGGGAGAAATATAAAGTCTCTAAACTTAATGTTTTATAGTTCTTTGTTTAAAAATTAGAGTGGCTTGCTTTCTGTTTCTAATAAAGAACTGAGAGAATTATGCCTCTCATTGTTCCAAATGAGTAAAGAACATTATCACTGGATGCCACTAAGGGCCTATAATTTTTGTTCTGAGAGAAAGTCAGGTCACTGTCTCTTTGGGACAGGTGCTCAGAGGATTATAGACACTTAATGCAAGATAAGGCCATCTCTTTTATCACTTGAAGATCAGGCAGGGGGCTGGAAGCAGTATGGTGCCTGAATATTCTGCCTGAATATTTTATAGGGCTGCCTAATGAGGTATTACACAGGTGGCTTCCCTATTGGCTATATTCTGTCTCTTGATATCTTGGAATTTCTCTTGCTATGATGCAAAAATTCAAAGTAAAGCCTAGCACAGGAATAGAAAACCCTTTCTTAGCAGATTCTAAAATATTTGGCTCAGACAATGGGATCTTAGTGAACTAATTAAAGACCTCAGAATAGTTTTCTGCATAAGCTTTCTAGACGTTTTCAGGTGAAAAGAGTTGACTTAGAGGAGAGAGAACTTTAGAGACCTTTTCTTTTTCTCTTCCCTTCCTCACTAGGATATGATCAAGTTTCTTCTCTTTGGGGAAATTTTGGAGCTGTGAAAGTATTCTAAAGTGATTTTGGAAAACTTCATATCCCTTAGTAATTTTAAGTTGACGTTTTAAGATTCAGAATGGATAGAAGGTGTATCTATTTTGTCTAATGTGAAAAGAATAATTGTTAAGGGGGATAAAGCCTTGTCCTGAGGCATCTTTTCAGGCAGGTCAAGTTTAGGAAGGTACGCATGAAAATTGGAGATCTGGAAACTGATTCCTTTAAAAATAATTTGGTTTGTGTTTACCAGAGAAAGTCTCTGTGTACTACTTGGAAAACAAATTACCATCATATGAAGACAGTTAATTTAGAGGGTAACTCCCATCTCTATCCCCCTCCAACTTTCTTCTACCTCAAAGAGATAAAATAGGATGTAGCTTGTAACTTACAGAGAGCTAAACGTTTTATTCAAGGTGTGTCGCTATAGCTGGTCCTCCATTATTTCACTGTTGTTTCATTATAACGTTGATGAGGAAATCATTTCCCAGCTGGGGCCACTGTGTAGTTTGCATGTTCTCTCCATGTCTGCGTGGCTTTTCTCTAGGACTCGTTTCCTCCTATGTCCCAAAGATGTGCACGTGAGGTTAATCACTGTCAATAAATTGTCTCAGTAGTGTGGGTGTGGGTGTGAGTGTACCCCGTGATGGAAGGGTGTCCTGACCAACTTTGGTTCCCACCTGGAGCCCTGAGCTGCTGTGATAGGCTCTGGCCACCTGCACATGAACTGGAATAAGCAGACTAGAAAATAATTATCTTGTTTTTATTAATCTTTCTTAAATGTATGTATAGAACACATTTCTGTGTGTAATACTAGAAGTATTTGGGGTCTTTAGAAGTTTGGTGATGTTTTTGTGAACAGAAATATGCCAGATGAACTTAATTGTTTATATCAATTAGCCTATGATATAGTTGGTTTTGTTGTATGACGTTTTGATGAACATGTACAGAATCCTACATTTAAGAATTAGCACCTAGACCTTTGTTTCAAACAGATAGGAATTTTTTTTTTTTTTTGAGAACTGGTTGCACATTGGGCAGTAGAGCAAAATCAACCTATTTCAAGAAATTGCTACCAAACAGACTATAATACAAATAAGCTAGACTTTGACAGTTCTGAGGAACAGTGCCTGGTATTTTGTAGTGTCCCCCCATTTGGGGTTACCTGATTTTTTTTTCATGGTTAGACTGGGGTTATTAGGTTTTGGGAAAGACTACAGAGGTGAAGTGCCATTTTCAATATATGTCAAGGTACATACTGTCAATGTTAACTTCTCACCGTTAACCTTAACTTAGATTGGAATGTCAAAGGAACATTTCTATGAGCCCAAAGGTTCAACAGTATCTTCCATGCCATCTCAAAAACCACCCAAGTGGCCATGGCGCCACTGCCTTACACACGTCAGTTTATGTGTTTCTGTCTGCCAGCTAGATTTTAAACCCATCAGCTTTGCAATCAGTGAGCCACTTCCATATATGTATCCTATTGGTTCTAATAACTACAAAATTAACAGAAGCTCTCTTTATGCTAAATATATATCTGAGAAAATTGAGGGTGAAGAAGAACAGCTTTTGCCCAGTAAATAAGGATGCTTTTAGAGATGTCACTGGGCAGCAAGACAAGGACAATGGAATCCAATCAAAATTAAACACTTTTGCTCTGCAGAGACCCTGTTAAGATGGAAAGACAAAGCTACAGACTGGGAGAAAATATTTGCAAACTGCATATCTGATAAAGTACAAGTACCTAAAATATATAAAAAACTCAACACAAATTAAAAAAAACAATCCAATTAGAAAAAGGCCAAAAAGACATGAATCGACATTTCACCAGAGGACACATGGGTGGCATATATGCACATGAAAAGATATTGTCCATTAGCCATTTGGGAAAGGCAAATTATAACCACAATGAGATACCACATTTCTCTCAGGACAGCTAAAGTAAGTGATATCAAATGCAAAAATTCAAAGAAACTGAACTCAAATCAAAGGTGTGACTATGAAATGCTACTGTCACTCTGGAAAATAGTTTGGCAATTTATAAAACTAAACACTTAACCCATCCACAAGGATTCCTCTATCCCTTCATCCCTGACTCTGGGGGACCAGTAACCTGTCCTCCGTTTCTCTAATTTTATCATTGCAAGCATGCTATATAAGTACACCACCATATGTGACCATTTGGGATTAGTTTTTATAACCCAGCATAATGCCCTGGAGATCATTCAAGTTGTACCAGTAGTTCACTCTTTTTAAAGTAGTGTTCCATGTGTTTAAACCTTCACCTGTTGGGCTCCTATGAATATTTATGTAATTTTTTGTGTGAACATTAGTTCTGAACATTAGTTCTGGGTAAACATCCAAGAGTTTTGTGGACATTGTTTTGTGTATAATATTGGAGAAACTCAGACCATTTCAAATGACGTAATAAAACTTCTAATTCATATGGAATAGAGCATTTTATTAATTTTTTTTTTTTTTTTTTTTTTTTTAGTAAAGGATTTAAAAAAATACTATCCTAAGAATAAGAGAAAGAATCATCAAATGGCAACTTAGGAAAAAAATGCCTGAAGGATACAGCAAGTATAGAATTTTCAAGAGAATTAAAAATATTCTCCAAACTAAGCTGGTCCACCTAAAAGTTCTTCAGGAGAACCCAACTTTAATCACCTTTAAGATCTAATGGTAGGGGTTACTTTCAGAGGACAAAAAGAGTAAATATCACCTTTAAGACTATTTTTCAGGAGAGAAAATGGTCAGTTAACCCTCTAGTGCAGTGATGGCGAACCTATGAACTCATTTTTTTGGTTGATTTTTCTTTGTTAAATGACATTTAAATATATAAAATAAATATCAGAAATATAAGTCTTTGTTTTACGATGGTTGCAAATATCAAAAAATTTCTATATGTGACACGGCACCAGAGTTAAGTTTGGGTTTTTCAAAATGCTGACATGCCGAGCTCAAAAGGTTCGCCATCACTGCTCTAGTGCCAGGTTCTTTTGTACACAGGAGGAACACAGGTCTGAGTATTAAAGTCACCTAAATTTGAGCTGATAAAGAATTAATACACTGCGCACTTTCTCTTAATTCATTTATTTAGAGAGAATACAGTCAGTCAAATCATGGAACACAATATCAATACAGAATAAAGGATTAAGTTGAATTATTGTATTTCGTTTAATAAATACATTAAAAGAAGTAAATATAGATTAATATACTCACTAATGACACAAGTAACTAAATTTCTAATTGGCTGTTATACTGCTTGATTTTTAAGATTATAATAACCTATACATATTAATTAGGTGGCAGCAGATACAAAAGCATTTTAAACACTTTTTTAACTGTATAGTATACTATAAGCAGTTTATTGTACAGCATTCCATCATTCTCGTGACCTTAGTTTAAAAGTAGAAGGCAAGCTGGACACGAGCAATCCACATCACATAAATTACCCACCAGTACTCACGTGTAAAATCTATTATGTGTTTTCTTTTTGTTTTTTGTTAATAGAATTAAGTTTTGAATGTCAGCTATTTTGGCTTAGGACTTCCCAGCTTTGCCACTAATTAGCTATCTGAGTTAAGTCTGTGCCTCAGTTGCTTCATTTTTAAAACAGGAGGATTGGACTAGATTTTGTCTAAGTATCTACTAAAGCCTAGTATTTGCAGTTTCTTGTTGTCCTGTCAAAAGTTTAACACCTTTGATTTTCAAAATGAATTTTCACGGTGATTTTCACCAACTTCCTTCTAATTCATGATTATCCTTTTCAAAACCTTTGTCTACATTCTTCAGAGTTCCCAGCATCTCCATTAACCCCTTACTTTCGCACATGTTTACAATGACCAAAACAAGTTTCACTATGTTGGTGTGGAAGGCCATCTCTACCCAAGGAAGACTATAAACTAAGTGAGTATTTAATTTAGTGCTCACCACCAATCTTTCTTTGAAATCTCAATCTTCATCATAACCTACATTATTGTCCCTCAAACACTCCCCACCTGTATAAGTTTCCTATATTTATATAATGGAAAAACCTGAAAAGATTTTTCAGACAACTGCCATTTAAGTGACTTGTTTACAAAATTTTTAAATAGCCCATGTTCTTTGCAATCTCCTGTAAGGCAAGGCATCAAGTATTTCAAAAGGCAGCCACTTCCTTTTATACTTTCTAAGATACAGCTTCAGTTCTAACAAAATTTAAAATTGTCAAGTTCTCTTTTTACTATTATTTTCACAGGTACAGAACAAGATGAACCGAATGTCCACTTTCCCTAACTTTCCACCATACTCATAAAACCTCTGTGATTCATTCTAACACACCTATCAATGCACTTGGCAAGAATACAATGAATAAAATGGCAAGCAGCAAAATCTCATGCCAGAACACTGGAGAAGTTTTATGGGAAGCACACACATACACAACTTTACGAAAGTTGGAAATACTATTAATTTCCAATAAGCAATGATCAAACTGGGACTTTCATGCTGGATGTCCTGTTCAGTCAAAATCACGATTTGTAAGAACAAGTGGTGCCACCAGTGTCCAAACATAGAGTACAAGGCCGATCCAACTCGAAGAGATTTTCACCCAGACAGCTGTCCACTGACTTTTCATCTCATGAGAAGGCTCATACCTGAAATTTAAAGAAAACAAAAAGGAGAGGTATTGAATGATCAGCCATCAAGCTACCTCATTATTTCAGAAGTGTTCTTTGTATACAGTTAGTGATAACAGATACTGTAGTTGCTGACTAATCTGTTGCCTTGCTTTCCGTACTATAATAATAATGTGAAGCTAAAAAGCAATTTTCTTTAAAGGAGTAAAAGACAGGCATCTAAAGTAGTTTTTTACATAACACTCAGAGGCTTTCTGTATTTCTAGCTTAGTGGTTATGACAGCAGAGAAATGGAGCATAACCTCTAGATAAGTAAGATGTTATAACACACAAGACATATCAATCCTGTCCTGTATCTGTTCAAAGCACATACGGGGAACTCACTCCTCCCTCATCCCCCTCTCAGATTTAAGACTGGGAAGGATATACATCCCAAACCTAACTGATTTTTGTGTTAATGAAACATAGCAAGTATACTTTTGATATAAAGTCTTTTAAATTTACTCTTATTACCTGCAAGCCAGAGCTGTGAATTACTGAGAACTATGTGGATTCTTACACTTAATATGTTACACTGTAGAAATTTTTTAAAATGTTCATTTTTCAATAGTAAGTGTCAGTAAAGGCTGCTCTCAAAGAAATGAAGCAGAGTAATTTTTTTGCTGGTACTTAAAGTCTTATTACAAGTTAAAGGTATTATGCATTAAAAATTATTAAAAACACAACTGCCCAAAACATATAGTTCACCTTGAATCTTAGATCAAATCTTTCAGTAATCATTTGGACAAAATTTGAATTTTCAAAAATAATATAAATTGCTACCTTCCTCTCATCAGAAAAGGATTTATGGATTAAAAAAAAGCATAAATTAGTTTTGAAGAAGTTCTATGGAACCATCTACATTAATGTATTCACACTTCAATTTTAAAGCCTTAATGACAAGGTTTGAACAAACCAGAAGATATATCTTTTACTGTATTTTGTCGGGAATTTAAAAACAAGCTATTGGATAAACTACCAACATGTATTTCTATAGGAAATAGTAGTTTCATATTTTAATCTACAAGATTTGTAAGTATTTCAACGTTATCACAAAAGCACGGAAGTAAAGTACATTTCGCACACTAATCTCAATATTCATTTTGCGAGTTTTGAAATACATTGAAGGATAAAAAGTACTTCAGACCATATTTTGCAATGGAATTAAGAAAAAGCTATCAGAATTTCCACATGCAAAGTTTAACAAAATATATGTACCTGTACCAGTTGGTAAGGGTCATCATGATATAAAGGGAAGCCAGGAAAAGCATGAAGTGAAAGAAGGAGTAACTGTAAGTGACACCGTCCCTTTCATTATCTACAGCTCGGTGAACATCATCTCCATCCTCAAGTGATCCATCATTTCTGGGTCCACCATCTTCTATTAATGTTGATTCATCACTTGTTAGAGTCAGTTTATTTACCTGACTATTGTTCGAAGTACGGATGCTGAATGGAAAGACAGTTTAGGAAGAGAGAAGAAAAAGGGCATTAAAAAATGATTTATAAATGAATATCTATAGACTTCTTGTCTAAAAAAATTCCGTAATTTTTCTTACCTTGAATAAAACACACACAATAAAAAGAGGATTAGTCCTATAATTCCTTGAGCATGCCACCACTGGACAGACTCTCCATCCTTTGGGACAATGCTTGTTGTATTGTACCCAATTATGCTTAGCAGACTTGGGTTGCAATTTGTTTCTGCAATGTAAATTAAGATTATAACCTAATTGAGTATTCAATTTAGTACCCACCACCAATCTGAGTTAATATGTTAGAATAGTTAAAACATTATTTTTCAAGGTATAATTGTTCTTTTTAATTCTCTATACCCTTACAAATTCAAAAAGGTTTTCTGAAAAAGGGCACAAATGTAACAACAAAATACTTTAAGACATTGTATTTATATTAATAATGAAACCTTCCAAGTTTTATATTGTTAATTTTATAGCAGTGCTTGGAAAAGTTAAATAATTTCATTTTCAACCTCAGACAGAGCTGAAAAATACTAGTAAGCTCTCAAAGTATAAATGAATCTCTAGCTGACTTAGGAATTCAGGTGTTTTACACCAAAATTCATTGGCTTTTGACTCTATATTGTGATATACCAATAGTGACTATGAAGTTTAGCAATCTATCAAAGTACATTGTTATAAAATAAATAGCTTACACATAATACCAATTATTAGAATGCTAGCAAATGCTTTGTGCCAATACATTAAGCCATAATGACCTGATGCTTATTCAGTTTCTTAACTCTCCTAAGATAAAAGTAGAGTTGGTAAAGTATTCAGTGAAGTTTACAAAATGTTTGTGTGTTTTTCTCAGAAAACAGTAATTCCTCAACCATTTTTTTTTACCTCAAATGACATATATTGGCTTCTATTCCCATGAAATGCAATGTAACTGACCTACAAAGAGATTTATTACAAAGCTCAATTATTCACTTGCAAGGTAGTAATAGATAAAAAAAATCTTTAGTGAAAATAAACGGTACTGTCTACAACTGAATTAATATTTTATTTCTTTCTATTTATCATATGCACTGTGCAAATCAGGTATATTTCTTGTCATGTTCATGTAATTTCTTATAATTCTGTTAGTGAAAGAAACTAAAAAGTATATAGCAATACATCAAACATGGAAATGGTATTATTTCCATGCTCTATTCCTCTAGGAATAACTGTCTTCGCCACCCACCATAATAGTTGATCCCCTTTACCCAGTTCGCCCTTCCTCTAGCACTCCTTGCCCTCTGGTAACCACCAATCTGTTGTCTGTCTCTATGAGTTTGTTCTTTTGTTGTTTTTACATTCCACGTGTGAGTGAAATCATGCATTTGTCTTCATCTTTAAATAGCTTAATTTCACAAAATGACCATCTCTGGAAAAAATAAAAGTTGCATGATTGCTTAAAAAAAATAAACCCAAGCAAACAAAACATACCTGGTTCATTGGTCATAGCAGACCATGTCAAATACATTGTGTAGACTGTAATCACTGAAGATTGTAATAAACCAGATCTTGGTTGTGATTCCTACAAAAATAAGCAATGGAGATAAATATTCTAAGATCATCTAAGATTTAGAAAAACTCAGCAAAGTAGAAGTTTCATACAAACTAATTATATAAAGAGCATACTTGGATTTTTGGCAGTATAGACATTACAGAAGCACCAAGGCAGAGGAGCATGTTGACACTGATGAATGCTTTGTTTTCGGAACAACTGGCTGGATGAGTATAGTAAACAAAGAACAGGATGATAGCAACTAAAGACAGCAGATAATTCAGAGCTGTAGCTGATAACAAAGCTGTGGAAGAAATATAATTGGACAATTAGATTTTATCACAAATACTAGAAACTGCCTAACCTTGTTTTACTTATATTTAAGCAACTAAAATTGTGAGCATTACGCAGGCTATGAAAAGAGGAAATAATATCCTGAACTTTATTACAGAATAATTTTATACTCTTTACATATAGCTCACTGCTATTGTTTTCAAGTTAGTAACATACTAATATGATTGTTTTTAAAGAGTGATGACTAGCCTGGCCAGTGTGGCTTAGTGGTTGAGCAAATATGATGGTTGTGAAAGAGTGATAACTAGCCCAGCCAGTGTCGCTCAGTGGTTGAGCATCGACCTATGAACCAGGAGGTCACGGTTTGATTCCAGGTCAGGGCACATGCCCAGGTTGCAGGCTCGATCCCATGTGGGGTTGTGCAGGAGGCAGCTGATCAATGATTCTCTCTCACCATTGATGTTTCTCTCCCTCTCCGAAAAAAAAAAATTTTTTTTAACTGTCTGCTCCACTATGGCAGTGTACCTGCTATAGACCGATGGGATGGGGTCAGACCAAAAAAAAAAATAGAGTGCTAACTATATTACAGACCTTATAAAACAGTCACTTTCGCTAAAAATTATTTTCAAAATACAGAAAAAAATAACTAGAAGGGGAATATTACTTAAGGTATTTTAATCTTTATGTTCCCCTATTACCATTTATCCCCTATAGCCTCTTCCACTCTACCCCCTACAATCACTACACTGTTGGCTGTGTCCATGAGTTCTTTCTCTCTTTTTTAATTTTTTTGCTCAATCCCTCTTCCCCTAACATCCTTCACCCACCCATCAGAGATGTCTGCTTGCTGTTTTGCTTGGTAGTTCAGTTTGTTCATTACATTACACACGAGTGAAATCATACTATAGTACTTCTCTTTCTCTGATTGGCTTATTTCACTAAGCATAATGGTCACCAGGTCCATCTATGCTGTCCCAAAGAGTAAAATTTTCTTCCTTTGTACAGCCGAGTAATATTCCATTGTGTAAATGGACCACAGTTTTTTTATCCACTCATCTACTATGGACACTTGAGCTTCCAAATCTTGGCTATTGTAAATAACACTGCAATGAACATAGAGGTGCGTATATGCTTTTGAACTAGTATTTTGGGTTTCTTCAGATAAATTCCCAGAAGTGGAATTGCTGGGTCATAAGGCAGTTCCATTTTTTACTTTTTTGAGGTAATTTCATACTGCTCCCATCTTCAAAATTAAGCTATCTTGAAGCTATTCTGTAAGACAAAAACTTACCTGCATACCAACATCTTGAGTTTCCTTCTTCCATCTTTTCAACCCATGACTCATTCCATGAATGGGCAAAATCAATGAGTAAGACAAGCTGTATGAGGATGAAGCAAAAGGCACCTGCCATGCCTACATAAAACCACACTGAAAGAAAGAAAACATACAAATCAGTGGCTGGTTCAGTTTTTATTATTTGTCACTATCGCAATACACAAAAGGGGAAATACAATCTACACTAATAAAAGGGTAATATGCAAATTGGCCAGAGCACCCTCACAGTAATGACCAAACAGCAGGCTGCGTGGGGCGACCAGGCCAGCAGGGGGGTTAGTGAGTGATGACCAAATGACTTAACAGCAGGCTGCATGGGGTGACCAGGCCAGCAGGGGGGGGGGGGGGCCTGTGAGGAGGGGCCCGGCCAGCAAGGAGGGGTAGTTGGAGGCAACCAGGCTGGCGGGGGGGGGGAAGGGCAGTAAGGGGGGACCCGGACGGCAGGGGAGCAGGGGCAGTTAGGCCAGCGGGGGTGGGGGGAAGCAGGGGCAGTTGGGGGCAACCAGGCCGGCAGTGGGGGCAGTTAGGGGCGATCAGGCTGGCAGGAGGGGCAGTTAGGGGTGATCAGGAAAGCAGGCAGGAGCCAGCAGTCCCGGATTGTGAGAGGGTGCAAGCTGGGCTGAGGGGGACACCCCCCTCCCCCACACGAAATTCGTGCACTGGGCCTCTAATTTTACATAAATGCTTTGATTTTGCCAACTGGGAGAAAAGGAAAACAAAACAAAGAAACAAACAGTTATAGTTCCAGGTAATTCTTTAACTTTCTTTAAAAAATATCAATATCATACAATTTTAGAAATATATATTTCTTACCAGTTGTAAAAGTTCCTTCTGGAATGAAGAAAGCCCCAATAATAATTGCTATTGCTGCAGAAAATTTAAAGAACCAGAATCTAAAAGAATAGGAAATATGATTTTTTATTAATAAACAAGTCATTCAATAATGTCATATATAAAATCTTTTAAAAGCACCTTGAAGAATAGCTATACTTCATGTTACTGTTCTATTTTTTTATGATGATATCCAGAGAATGAGAAGTGAAGACTACTATGTATACTGCTTTAGGACAATTTTAAGGAGAATATTTTTATATTTAATTCATTACAATAAAATGAGACTCAGTTCCATTTCACAGGTTTATTTTATGTAATTAAGTGCGATAATATGTGAAAATATAATGTACATTGTTCAACTGGGTAAGTTTTTTTAATTGATTTTTGAGAGAGAAACATTTGTTGTTTCACTTATTTTTGTATTCATTAGTTGCTTCTCATTTGTGCCCTGACCCAAGATAAAACCTGCAACCTGGTGTGTATCAGGACAAGCTCTAAACCAACTGAGCTACCTGGCCAGGGCCTTTGATGTTGTTCTTTTAACTCACAGTACAAAAGTAGTAAGCACCGTTAACAGTACAAAAACACAGTCTGTAGCTCACCTTTTAAAACCAGAACAGCCAAGTGAAAAGTCAGTACAGATTCTTATTTTTACTTAAGCCAATGTACTAAATCAAAGCAGACAGATGACCAGAGAATTGTTTGCTATTTCAACTCATGCTGAACTAGACCAGTGGAACACTGTCTTAGTAGAAAGGTTTTGACAAGAAAGAATTGCATAGTCCCTACCCTAAAGGAATACCTAACAAAGAACTGATTTATACAGAAAGGGTTTTAAGCAAATCTGCACAAACACTTCACATGCTATAAGAAAAGAATACCTGTTACTATATGTTCAGCATAAGCACACATTCACCAGTGCCCAGTAAAACAGGAGTGCCAAAATTTTTTTTAAAAAAAAGCATTTTTGCTTTATTTTTTTAAATATATTTTATTGATTTTTTACAGAGAGGAAGGGAGAGGGATAGAGAGGTACAAACATCGATGAGAGAGAAACATCAATGAGCTGCCTCCTACACACCCCCAACTGGGGATATTCCGGCAACCAAGGTACATGCCCTTGACTGGAATTGAACCTGGGACCCTTCAGTCCGCAGGTTGACACTCTATCCACTGAGCCAAACTGGTTAGGGCGCATTTTTGCTTTAAAAAGCACACAGCACAGCCTGGCCTGCATGGCTCAGTGTTGAGCATCGATCTATGAACCAGGAGGTCACAGTTCGATTCCTGGTCAGGGCACATGCCCAGGTGATGGGATCGATCTCCAGTGTGGGATGTATAAGAGGCAGCCAATCAATGATTCTCATCATTGATGTTTCTATTTCTCTCTTTCCCTTTCCCTTCCGGAAATCAATAAAAAAATACTTTTAAAAAGCACACAGCACGTAATACTTCATCTTTAAGGGAGTAATCATGGAAGCTCCAAGATTATAACTACTAGGGTAGGCTGAGTATTCATCTATAAAAATGGTGTTTTTTTTTCAAAAATGCTTAAGAGAGATTTCTGGAAACAGTAGGACTTCATTAGGACCAGCAGAAGACATGATACAAGGACTGCAAATGTAAGACTAGGAATTGGTTTTCACATGTAGCATTTAGTTCAAGAACATCTCTGCTCAGTTGATTCCCAGCCAAGACTAGCTGTGATAACAGGAGCTCCAGAAATCTCAACGCAGGCACTTGGCTTCAGGAACATCCACATAAACATTTCTCAAGTCAAAAACTCCATTGAGAACTGAAACTTTAATGCATATAAAAAGCTCTGAGTGCACAATATTCATGCAAAACCTTCTGGAACAAAGAGGGCTGGTGATGGTGGTTGCTGACACGCCACCATGTATGCTGTGGAAGGCGCCCAGGGGGAATGCAGGATGTGGGCTTGCTCCAGAGGAGCCTGAGACTCAAAGTCCCTGGGAGAGGTGTCCACTGACACACAAGGGTTTTCAGGATCACTAGGTCCCAGGAAAAGTCAGGTAGTTTTTGTGACCCATCAATACTTAACATTAATGAAGAGTTGCAGAACAGAGCTAGTCTTTCCACGATGTATTCTTCTGTTATTAGCCGACGCCTCTCTCAGTATATTTGGCTGCTGCTCTCCAGAACAATCTCATTGCCTGGAGGTGGGACATAGCACCACAGACTGTTCTGGAAAGCCAGCAGAGTATGATTTGCACAATGAAGTTACCACTAAACCATTGTGTAAGTCCAGTCCCCAGCCTTCTTCTTCTGCTCTGTAGTCCAGAAATATTTCTTTAAAAGCCAGAAAATCGGTTAATGTTGGTAGCATGTCAAATATGTCATCAGCCACTTCATCTTTATGGTGCTATAAAGTTGTTGTGAAAGCTGCCATGTTATATCCAGGAATCCGCTCCAGCTGCTCTTCATCAATATACTTTTCTATCAAAGAAATATATTCATTAAAAATGGGCATGTAGGCCAGTTTATTCTCTTCTGTGTCTTCAAACTCCTGGTAGTAGTTGTCCATAATGTTTCTCTGTCATAACTGGAACTCCATAATAATGTCCTCGAAATATCCAACCACAGCATCAAATTCTGCATCAGAGGCAGAAGAGAAAGCAAGAAGTTCCCTTCCAGTAGGACATCCATCGCCGCTGTGGCTGCATCCACCCTGCGTAGGGGTGGGTGGGTCCACAAGGTTTCCTACCCCGCCGGCAGTCAGGGCCCAGCCTCCATCTGCTCCGCAGAGCCCCAACTGGCACAGGGGAAGCCTCGTCACCGAGGCCACGACCAGCTAGCTCACCGCCAGCTCAAGGCCCAGCCCAGTCAGTGCCTGCATGCCACCCTAACCTCAAGAAAAGAAAATTATAGACTAATTTCCCTGATAAGTAAATAAGCAATAGCAAATACTTAAATTTTTTTAACTTAAGGGGGGAAAAAAGATAAAATTTAACATTTTCAAACAGAGTACCAGAAATGGTGTTCTATATTATAGAAGACTAATAAAAGGGACCCTAAAGTTTCCTTCTAGATTGTTCAGTACAACCAAACATTTAGAAAAGTAATCAATCACTGTGTTTAGGAATAAAGTTTTTCATTTTGGCTGCATTGTATGTCTAGGGAACCAAGTTCTATTTTATGTAAAGTACACACCAAAAGCGAAGAAGAGAAAGAAGAATAAGCTCCTCATTACTAGTCACAGAAGTGGTGATTTTGCTTAAGATGAAAATATAAAACATTATATATCAGAGATTATACCAATAAATGACTGAAGGCTTACATTTAACGTTTATGTTTCCAAAGTCTGACATTCTCAAGTAGACAAGAGGATATTCTTTGTCATTCATAACTAACAAAATATTCTATAAATTGTTTAAATTTATTTGGCTTTAATGTTTATTTAGACAGATTCAAAATTACTGGCAACAGGCTACCCAGACTTTTATATTAAAGTTTACAGTCATGCATCACGTAATAACATTTAGGTCACCAACAGACCAACAACCTATACGACAATGGTTCCATAATGGAACGGAAAAATTCATATGGCCTAATAATGTTATAGCTGAGATAATATTGTAGTGCAACACCTTACTCACGTGTTTGTGGCAATGCTGGTGTAAACAAAACTATTATGCTGTCAGTCGTATAAAAGTACAGCACATACAATCATGTACAGCACATAAACTAGATAATGCTAATAGAGAACTATTATTGGCTTATATCCTATGTAATAAAAGTCAATATGCAAATGGACTGAACAGTGGAACGACCGTGGAATGACTGGTCACAATGACATGCACTGACCACCAGGGAAAGATGCTCAATGCAGGAGCTGCCCCCAGCCTGCAGGCCCCAGGCCAGCCACGGCGGGTGCCAGCAGGGCCCCCCCCCCCATCACCCTGCCAGTCGCCCCACAGATAGGCCCTGATTGCCAGCCAAGCCTAGGGACCCTACCCGTGCATGAATTTTGTGCACCGGGCCTCTAGTATTTACTATAATATACTTTTTAAAAATGTATTTTTCAATTATAGTTGACATACAATATTATATTAGTTTCAGGGGATGTTATACTTCTTATTATTTTAGAGTGTAGTCTTTTCTATTTACAAAAACAAATTTTCCTGTAAAACAGTATGTTGTGTTATGCCAACAGCAGCCTCATATCTCTCATTTTACCATGTCTCTTGATTGCACCATTTTATCTCATGTTTGATTTAATCTCGTGTTATTTTACATTCAGTGCAGCCTAAGTGTACAGTATTCATAGTTTATCTACAGTACTGTCCTTGGCCTTCACATTCACTCACTACTCACTCCGACACCTTGAGCAACTCCAGTCCTGCAAACTACATTCATGATTAATTGTACCATTTTTTTATCTTTTATACCATACTTTTACTGTACCGTTTGTTTAGATTTGTTTAAATACACAAATACTAACATTATGTACAACCGCCTACAGTATGAATAAGTACAGTAACATGCTATACAGGTTTATAGCCTAGGGGTAATAGGCTACATCATACAGCTTAGTCGTGTAGCAGGCTATACCATATAGGTTTGTGTAAGTGCACTCTATGATGTTCGCCATTCGCACAACGATGAAATCGCCTAACAATACATTTCTCAGGATGTATCCCATCATTAAACAGCATTTGACTACATTAAAAAACTTACCCATTGTGTACTGCAGCTCGAGGATCACTGCTGCTCTTCACTTTGATCATCAATAGAGAGAGGAGAAGGTAGAACATAGCCAAGCCAAAGCACAAACGGTATACAGCTTTGTAGCCAACCAGAATATTACAAGGGACGACACCTTTCTCATTCTCACAAAATCCAGGAATCTAACACAACAAAACAAGAGTTTGTGATCTAGAATTTTTTTAAGTAAAAATAAAAATTCTGTGTAATCAAATATTTTAAGTAAAAATTTAGAAAATTAAAGTTTGCTTTTCAGTTAATGCTGAATATGTAATCAAGGTAAGTCTGGAACATTTTTATAAATAAAAGTTTAATTCATTTTTCACTTTATGTGAGCACATGATAAACTACAAGTGCAAATCCTAAAGATAATATCTATTTTGACTTGCAGACTTATTCTGAATTTTTTAAAACTTGCATTCTGCTGTGATATACTGAATTACCTAGATAGGAAAAGAGAAAAATATAATCAATAAAAGTTTAAAGAATTACAGAGCAACTAAGTTTTTAAACCCTAAAGAGAATAATGATGGCTTTTTAAAAACAATGCTATATAAATAACAACTTATTTCTGATAATGAATAAATTCAGAATAACATAATCGCTGACAGTGATTTCATTTTTTAACTTAGAATCTTGAAAAAGATTGATGACCATTTCGGAAAGTCACATTGGAATCAGAATACCAAAATAAATAAATAAATAAAAATTTAAGTGAACTAAATGGGGGTAGTCCTCAGAGCTATGCACACTATTTGTATACATGAGAATTTAAAATTACATTTAAGCTAAGAAGGCACTACTTCCTTTTGCTAGTTTCTACAGTCAATAAGCCCTTTCTTGGTCTGGTTTAAATCCTACCTTTCCAACCCAATTTAAACTTTATGGCAATATGTATTGACCCATAATCACTTGCAACATGTACTCACTAGCACCCTTAAATATCCCTCTCCCTTAGAGTTGTACACCACTAGGCCGATTTCCATCAAGTTACTTCAGCCATCTATATTAGTCAGGTTAAGCTGGTACATACAGTAACAACCCCAAAGTATCAGCTTAAAACAGCAAAGGTGTATTTCCTGCTCACGTGCAGTCAACTCAGGAATCCAGGCTGCTGGAGAAGCCATCTCAAATGTTGCACATGTTGTAATAGGAAAGGAGATCTTGCATTAGCAAGTAGAAGCTGAGGTGTATCACATCCACTCACAACTCACTGACCAGTACTAGGGACATGACCCTACATATCACAAATACTCTAGGAAATGCAAATCTTTGATGACCTTCGGAAAGCAGAGAAGTAGAAATATTTGGTGAAAAGAACTAACATCCACTAACTAAACTATTATAAACACTGTCAACTGAATCCATTACAAATCATATGAACATCTCTTGGCATGGTTTGCTTATCATACTCAGGATTTAGAATGACATTAACCGAGCATCCAGCTATGATACTAGCTAGTTTCAAAAATCATAATAATCTAATTATCCAAACTTTTACCATTTTTTCCCTCACCCCAAAGCCAACTCCAAGCATAAAACTATATGCTTTGAAATGGAGGTTCTCTGACATAAATATTCTCTTTCAGCATCAAATGTTCTATTACCTTGCTTTGGAAGGCAGCTAACTTCTGTATCTCCTCTCTTTATCACCTTCTCCCTCTCCCTCTTTCTCTCTCACACACAGATGAGATCTCTTATCTTTGACTACTCTCAAAATAAAATTATTAAATCTCCCCATTCTAAAAAAATCCTTTCCTTAACTCAGTTTCCTGCTAAGACCACCATCTTCACTATAAAATTCCTCAAATCAGCATTTTATACACACTGGATACATTTCCTCATGGCCTACTGATTCCCCTCCCACTCCCCTCTAGCCCCAACACTCTGAAGAAACTGCTTTTTCAAGTCATGAACTCATTGTCCAATACTCTCTTTCTGAAGACTGCACAACAGTACATTCTCTTGGTTCTCCCTTTCACTGTTTCTTCAGAGGTTCCCTTTTCTCTACGAACCCCCTTTCTTTTTTAAGTTACATACTCATATTTTCTACTTCCGACTGATTCTCTCTCTCTCTCTCTCTCTTTACATATGTAGTTCAGTACTGCCAAGTCAACATGCCACAAACTATAATAAATTGTATTTTCCTCATCGCTTTTTACAACCTGACTCCACGAAAAAAATCTTAAAAATATAACACCCTTTCTTCTTATTACTTTTTTCTGGGTTAACAGCAACAGTTTCATGCCAGTTGTCTAAGACCAGAATCTTGCTATTACTTATAATCCTATCACTGCCAATATTTAAATCCAGATTCATCATTTCTACAGTCTATTTCAGAACCTCTATACACTCACTTATTACATCACTGCAACAGCCTCCACATGTAATTGCTTGACTTCTATCCTAATTATCAGATGGATCTTCCTAAAGCATACATACATACTAGGTTCAAAAAGCTCTTTATCTCCATTCAGCTTCCTATTTTTCAATCTCTGAATACAAAAGTTCTACTCATTCTCAGAATGGCCCCTTTTCCTTGACACCCACTGAAATTGGCATTTATTTGGTTAGAATTACTTGTTTTCTCTTATTAGCACAGCACATTTTTTATATCACCATCACAGAATTTAATAAGATGCCTATATTGTCTGTTTTTCCTGAGATTATGAGCAATTAAAATTGAGGTTATGTATTATCTTACTTTGTACATTATTCTGCTTCCAATACAAAAAAAAAACTCAGTTTCATGCATACACACACTATAGGTTCAGTTAATTTTTTTAAAAAAATACTAACCTTATTCAGTTGTTCTTCCATTCCCGGTATTAACATGACACAAGCTACACACACTCCAACAAACAAGAAGAACACATAGATCAGCCTCGTTACAGTGGAGTTGTTTCCACTAGGGCAGCAGCGGCACAGCAAACACGGGGCACTGCCACACAAACATGGTATCTGAGGAAAGAATATTAAAAATAAGTCTAGTTTAAAATGACAGGGGAAATTTACATTCTATCCATTCAAAAAGGAAAAAGAACTGAAGTTAAGGTAATTACCAAGGGATAAAGGTATTTGGCTCACATATATTATCTGTAAATTATAAAACTTAGTATCATCGGGGTAAAGATTGAACAAAGTCAAACATAAAAGTGCTTGTCCCTATATCAAGCAAAATGAATAAAATCAGTTAAAACAGCCCTAACTGGTTTGGGTCAGTGGATGGAGCGTCTGCCTGCTGACTGAAAGGTCCCAGGTTCAATTCTGGTCAAGGGCATGTACCTTGGTTGTGGGCACATCCCCAGTAGGGGGTGTGCAGGAGGCAGCTGATCAATGTTTCTCTCTCATCGATGTTTCTAACTCTCTATCCCTCTCCCTTCCTCTCTGTGAAATCAATAAAATATATTTTTTAAAAAATCAGTTAAAACAACAAAGGGAGAAAATCACCAGCAGCAATCAATGTTTAGCTAAAACAAATGAAAAAAAAAGGGGGGGGGGGGACAGGACAGGGACGAAATATTCATGATTACAAGCCCATCTCCAGCTCCCCAGAAATTATACTAGTGAATTCACAAAATTCTGAGAAGTCTCAAATACTCCAAAGAAAAGAAGTAAATTGGTGTATACTAGTGAATTCACAAAATTCAGAGAAGTCTCAAATACTCCAGAGAAAAGAAGTAAATTGGTGTCCTTATCTTTTCCCTCTTCTGATTTGGTGGTAGTGATAATTAGGCAAAATAAGATAAGTGAACTGAGACCAGCTAACTCTCTCTAATGTAACTGCACATAAACTCAGGCCAAGATAGAGGAACAGTGCCTTAATCAGGGGAAAAAATAAATGAAACAATGATTTTCAGATAATTAACAAGAGGCAATGCAGGATAGTAATTTCTAAGAGAGGAAATGTGAGCTCTATGATTGGCCCATCTTTCTGCCTGGGGGGTTTCCAGTGCAGGGCATGGGATCCAGACTGAGACCAGCAGTCTGAGTTGAGAGTTCAGGGAAATGAAGACAGCTTCACTGGGCAGAATCCTAGAGAACTACGCAAAATCAGCCCTGGAGATCTGCAGAGGCTTCAACTTGAGTCTTCAGGAGAGCACTGATTGGTGCATACATTTGAATAAATTACCCATGGGAAGAGGGGCAGGAAGAGGAGTTGGTATTCCCACCAGCTAGAAAGAAAAATCCTTGTTACTGGGAAAAAAATCAGCCATAAGCTAAAGGCCACTCCAGTCTCACTTAACAAAGTCTAAAAGTAAATAACAAAAAGATCAAATTATCTTCAAGTAACTCACCTATGTCCAAGAATAAAGCCCAAGAGTATTTTTTTAACAGAAGTATTTCCTACTTCCTACTGATTCCCTCTCAAAGCAAGTATACCTGTTCTCACCACTTGTATTCAGTAAGTATCAGTTGACTATATTTACATGGGTCTATTTCTGGGCTCTCTATTCTGTTCCACTTACCTGTCTCTTCTTTTGCCAATAACACACTGTCTTGATTACTGCTACAGCTTTATACTAAGTCATGTAGCCGGGTAGTGTCACTCCTCCAGCTTTGGTTTTCAATATTGAGTTGGCTGTTCGGAGTCTTCTGTATCTCCATATAAGCTTTAGAATCAACTTGTCAATATCCAAACAATAACTTACTGGGATTTTGACTGGGATTGCACTGAACCTATAGATCATATTTGAGAAACTGACATCTTAACAATAATGGATTTTATTAATCTATGAACATGGAGTATCTGTCCATTTAAACTTTGCTCATCAGAGTTTTGTAGTTTTCCTCATATCGATCTTGCAAGTATCTAAGTACTTACAAGATTATACCTAAGTATTTCAGTTTTGGGGTTTTTTCTGGATGCTAATGTAAATGGTTTTATGTTTTTAATTTCAAATACATTTTAATTGCTGGTATATAGAAAAGTGATATACTTTTATATATTAACCTTGTATACTGCAACCTTGCTATGATTGCTTAGGAGATCCAGTTTTTTATCTTGATTCTTTTGGATTTTCTACATAGATGATAATGTCATCTGTGAATCTGTATACCTTTTATCTTTTGTTTCCTTTTCTTGTCGTATTGCACTAGGTAGAACTTCCAGGACAATGTTAAAAAGAAGTGGTGAGAGGAAACATTCTTGCCTTGTACCTGATTCTACTGAGAAAGATTTTAGTTTCTTACCATTAAGTATGATGTTAGCTGTAGGGATTTTGTTGATATTCTTTATCATGTTGAAGAAGTTCCCTCTACTTCTAATTTATTGGGAGTTTTCCTCATGAACAAGGGTATGAATTTTGTCAAATGTGTTTTCTGCATCTACTGACATGATCATGTGATTTTTAAAAACTTGATGTGATGGATTACATTAATTGATTTTCCATTGTTGAACCAGCCTCCCATACCTATGTTTATAGCAGCTTTATTCATAATTGCCCAAATTTGAAAGTAACCAAGATGTACTTCAGTAAGTAAATGAACAAATAAAACATGGCACATCCAGACAACGGAATATTAATCAGTGCTAAAAGAAAAATGCTATCAAGCCATGAAAAGACACGAAGAAATCTTGAGAGGATATTACTAAATAAAAGAAACCAATCTGAAAAGACTACATACTATATGATTGCCACTGTATGATATTCAGGAAAAGGGAAAAACTGGAGACAGTAAAAAAAAAAAAAAATCAGGGGTTGGGAGTAGGTGAAGGGATGAATAGGCAAGGCAAGGAGGATTTTTAGGGCAATAAATTTATTTCGTATGCTCCTATAATGGTGGATATATGTCATTATATATTTGCCCAAACCCACAGAATGTCCAACAGCAAAAGTTAACCCTTATGTAGACTACAGACTTTGGATGATTATAATCTGTCAATGTAAGTTCATTAATTATAAAAAATGTACCACCCTGGTAAAAAATGTTGATAATCAGGAGGGCTATATATGCATGGGGACAGGGAATATATAGGAAATCTCTGTACCTTCCTTTCAATATTTCTGTGAAACTACAACTATTCTAAAACTATTCTAAAACATAATCTTGAACAAAAGTATATAAAAAATGATAACACACTGATCAGATGGGATGTAGTAGGGAAAAGCATTTGGAAACTGACCAATGCAATTCACCACATTAACAGACTAAACAAACACACAAACACACATTACGATCATCTCAATGGATACAGAAGAAATATGTTAGAAAAAAATATTTTACAAAATTCAATTTCCATGATAAACAAATACAGCTTTCATCTAAGAAGGAGTAGCATATCCTCAACTTGATAAAGGGCATTTACGAAAAATCCATAGCCATCCAAACTTCATAGTGAAAATTTGAATGATTTCCCCTAAGATCCAAAATAAGGCAAGGATAACTGTTCTCACCACTTGTATTCAACTTCACACTGGAGGTCCTAGCCAATATAACAAGGCAAGAAAAAGAAAGACAAGATATATACACTGGAAAGTAAGAAATAAAAGTGCCTCCATTCACACATAATCCTCTACATGGAGATCCCAAAGGACTTACAAAACACATAAAAATTGTGACCCACAAAAAAAGAAAATTGATAAATTGGGCCTCATCAATATTAAGAACTTATCTTTAAAAGGCAGCATTAAGAAAATACAAAGACAAGCCACAGACTTAAAGGTAATATTTACAAATAGGTATCTGATAACTCATTTATATCCATAATATAAGGAATTATCAAACTTAATTAGAAAACAAAAATGGCAAAAACATTTTTTAAAAAAAGAAAATATATGGACAGCCAATAAGCACATGAAAAAAGTACTTATTAGGGTACAGTTGGCCCTTGAACAACATGGGTTTGATCTGTGCTGGTCCACATATATGTGGATTCTTTTCAATAAATATCTGATACTATTTTTAATCTGCAGCTGGGAGTCCAAGGATGGGAAGGGCTGACTACATGTATTTACTCACATTTTATACAGGGGACTTGAGCACCCACGAAGTTTGGTATCTGCAGGGGTCCTGGAACCAAACCCCTTCAGATATCAAGGGTAGTTAAGTTTTGGGGGAATCAAAGTCATACTTGGATTTTCAACTGCATGGGAGTCAGTGCCCCTAACCATCCTCCCTTGTTCAGGGTTAACTGTACATTATACCAATCCACAATGTCTCTCAAGAATTTAACAGACATTTTTAAATATGAAGAATGCAGGGATTACAGCATTCATGATCCTTTTTGAAAATTTTATATAAAATTTGGTTAATTAGATGACATTAAAATTTTTCAAAAATTGAGGAGAAGCCATGGTAAAAAGGTATGCTTTTTAGCTTTGAATCCACTTAAGTGGAGGGATTATTAAAACAGGATGCTGAGCCTTAGACAATGTTTCCAATAAGTTTCCCAGTCTGGTGATGCTACTGGGTCTAGGAAAACACTTTAACAATGACTAGTGTAGTGCAAAAACTAAGCAACTGTGGTAATTATAGTCATAAAACATAATGGCCACATATAAAAAAATAATACAAAGGGATTCTGGTTAAAGATGGCAGGCTGAATATATGAATTTACTCATGTTCCCTTTAGAAACATCAGTAGAATGAAAAAGGGATTTTTACTTACTGATCTAATTTAATGATGTGAATACTTATTAAAATTTGAATAAATTTTAGATTTGTCAAAACCTCTAGGTAAATGAGCATACTGACTGTTAAGACTACGAAAGAAATGGATGTGTATATTCACACTTGGAGTTCGGGAAACCAGTTAAGTCGGCTCGCGTGAATTGCGCGTACTCCGCGGGAGCCGTCTTTAACTCGGTTCATATAGATTTGCGGTGGAGTGCGGGAAACGTGTAAACTCGGGCCGATTGTAACTGCGTATTACCAAATATTTGTTTGTAATCCACCCTTTTGGTGGATGGAACAAAACCAAAAGACAGAGCCATCTTATATTTTGGCGGGAAATTCACCCGCACTCCAAGTGTTCAAAGGCAAATTCTCCTTTAATTGCTGTGGAACTGCAACTACAACTCTTCAGGAAGAAAGAGACAAAGGCACCAGGAAGGAAAGGGAAAAGATGATCAGAACTGCATACTGTAGAATACATTCCTAGACTGGCCACAATAACCTAGAACCATGAATAACCTTGGCTGCCTAACTTCTTTATCTGCCAGAGATCTAATCACTAGAAGATAAGAAAACTGCCTCTTTGTCTCTCTCTTTCCTATGTACCTTGGAAAGGCAGTATCAATTCTATCACAGTATTGTTTGTAGTCAATAAAGGTGGAAAACTGAACTTTAAAAACATATATAGGAATATCATTTTCCCCACATTGTTCACTAAAGGTGCTATCTTTCTGACTTAAAACACATACATATATTGAACCCTTAAAACTTTTTTCTGTAACCTGTAATTGTCCTTTAGGTTAAGTTTGCTCATCACTGATCTGGGGATGAGAACAAAATGGAAAACATCTACTCCTCCTTTTAAAGCTTTCCTAAATACAAAAAAAAAACGCCCACTTGATAACTGGACAGAATCTAACTTTGTGAACCAAATTACACTATATCTCCCCCCCCCCAAAAAAAACAATCTTATAATAACCATTTATTATTTTGTAATACATTTTATTTATTACACTAAATATGCCTCTTGTATAAAAGTCAATAAATGCAAGTAAATTCCATAACTCAGATTAAAAATATATACCTAGTTTCCCTGTCCAATTACAAGAACGACCTGAGTTGGAGTTACAACCTCCACTTACTGTTTTATTACAATTTGACATTTAAAATTCAAGCCATATTAAGAACTTTTTGGGGAAAAAATGCAAAATAAAATTCTGGCTAATGTAAATAATGAAGTAATTTGAGAAGTCAGACAAACGATTGTTAGAAGTGGAAATTAGAGCTCATAGATTAAAGAAACATGATTTGAATCCAAATATCTCACCCCAAACTACAAATATCCTTACTAACTGTAATATCAATGTTTTACTTTTTATTTGGGAGAGTGTGGTTATTTTATAGTTTATTTGTACCACCTAGATTAAGAAATCTTGCCACTGAAATGAAAAATGGTTTCGTTCTTAACAACGCTACCTAATCAACATGCAAAGTGCGCATAATAAATTCAGGTTACGCCGGAATGCTCGGTGTCAAAAGACGCAGGGCATTGAACGCTGCAGAACGGACCGCTTTCCCAGACGCCTGTCACCTGGGAAGCACGTAGAGCGATTTCTTCATACAGGGCCCGGCCTCATGATAGGACGACGTCGCACGATAGGGCTACTTATTTCAAAACGCTATTCCTGTGTCATCATCCCAGCCCGGCTGCCCCCGATGGCGGGCAGCTCCGCCTGCGCGCAGAACAAAGAGGCGGGCGGCCCGGGGATGGCGGTGCCGCAGTCCGGGGGCGCGGGGAGGGGTTCGGGGAGGGATGCGGGGAGGGATGCGCGGAGACGGAGCGCGCGGGCGGGAAGGGCCTCGGATCTGCGCAGCGAGGGCCCAGGGCCCAGGCGGACAGGACAGCGACCGAAGGGGGCCTGGAAGAAGGGGAGCGGCCTTCCACAAAGACGGGGGCGGGGGGGGGGGACCCTCAGCTCTCTGCACTGCTCCATCGGAGTCGCCCTCCCATCACCACCGTCCCCCGCGGCCACCCGGTCCTCTGAGCAAGAACCCGAGCCCGACGCCGGGTCGGAGTGACCGGGGGAAAGAGAAAGGGAAAGGGGGAGGCAGGCGCTCCCTGCTGGGTGGGGCGCCACGTCCCCGCCGGTCCTCCCGCGGCCCCCAACTCCCTTCCCTCCCGCCCCCCACGCCGGCACCCCAAGGCCGCCTACGCCGCCTTACCCAGCTCGCCATGGAGCACAGCCCCAGGACGCTCCCCATCGCCAAGGCGCCGCCGGGACGGCAAATGCCAACAAAATGGAGACACTGCCTCGCCCGGTTTTCCGGGCTTATTTACGATCTGCGAGCCACTTCCGGCGCAGAGGGCGCCCCGCCCCTCCCGGCGTCACGTCCTCTGCCGCGGGGTGGGGTGAGGCCCGGGAGAGCGCGGTGCTGAGACTGCGCATGCGCAACCCTGGAACGCGGCCGACTCTTCCCAGGGGAAGGTTCCCGGCCCGAGCCCTGGCCAGCTTGCTCAGTGGGTAGCGCGTCGGCCGGTAGACTGAAAGGTCCCGGTTCCATTCCCATCCCCGGTAGAGGGCCTGCGGGAGGCAGCTCATCAACGATTCCCTTACATCCTTGATGTTTCTATCTCTCCCTCTTCCTCTCTCTGAAATGAATAAAAATAGATTTTAAAATTAATAATAATACCCCGGTTTGCCCTAACCGGTTTGGCTCAGTGGATAGAGCGTCGGCTTGCGGACTGAAGGGTCCCAGGTTCGATTCTGGTCAAGGGCATGTACCTTTGTTGCGGGCACATCCCCAGTAGGAGGTGTGCAGGAGGCAGCTGATGGATGTTTCTCATGGATTTTTCTAACTCTCTATCCCTCTCCCTTCCTCTCTGTAAAAAATCAAATATATATATATATATATATATACACACACATATATATAATACCCTGATTTGATAGCATCTGGCTAATGCAGGGCGGACTGTAGCTTGCCAAATTAAGAAGGCAATGTGAGGGAGACTCACCTTTGCTTACTTTTTCTTTGAGTGTTAGTAAGAACTGAGATTGCGGTTGCTGTTTTCCCTCCTTGTTTAGAGAAACCTCTTCCTGAATTGGGAGGATTGCTTTCTCTTTCTCCATGTTCATCCCTCCTACCTCCACTTAGTTCTCGTTTTTGTTTTGTTTTTCTTTTTTTTTCCACTATTGCACCCCCTCCCCCCTTACCTTCTAAGTTTATTCCTGCAGCCCACTGCCTAGGACAAGTTTTATTGTAATATTTCCATTCATTTGGGTGCATCACTTCTGTCTGTATGCTGTTGACATGCATTTTAATTTCTTATCCTACTAAGATATTAAAAGAAGTTGGCACATGCAATACCTTTAAATTTCTAAAATTACAGTAACAGCAACACAAAATTTATTGCAACACAAAATTACCTCCTACTGATTATTTAGTGCTTGGGCCTCAGGTACTAAGGACTTAATGGCAAACAAAACAGTACACTAGTCCAACAAATAGATACAAAATTAATAGTATCTTAGGAAAATCCATGAGTATGACCAAGACACAAGTCCGAATAGACATGCACAGAGTGGGCTGAGAGAATTCTGGAATACTATAGACAGGCTTAAGGTTTTCCTCAAAACAGTCTGGGTTCATTCTCACACATGGTTAAACAAAGAATCAAAGCTCCCAAACAGAGCTGGAGAAAAAATGTAAAGCAAGACTATCAAGCTTATTCTGATAATAGTAAAAAATTCAATAATGCATCCATAAAAGTCAATTTAAACCAATATAATCCCCAGGATGATTTAGGCATTATGAAACTAAATAAATTACTTACCCTTATGAAACTAAATAAATTACTTTGAAATAGAGACTTGACTATCACTCTCATTAAGTATTATGAGACTATCTACACCCAAATAATAATTTCGGTTTCACAACTTACCCCCATGGCAATAAAACCATATCTTCGATGTACAAGAAAATATTTAGCTTTATATTTTCTATGGCAATCTATGCCTGGCTTCAAGTCTAAAGAAAGGTCAAAACACCTCTGCTTTATAATACTCTGGAAATTACTGTCTGATCAGTAAAGAGATCATTTCTATTATCCCCAATTCTCATATTATATTAAAGTACAAGTTTAAGAAAAATAATCGTAGCCTGGGCTCCATATTGAATTCACATAGCATAGTCCACGGCTGGTGTTTTTCTACAAAACAAGTGTGAATAATGAAGTATCTTTCTAAAAGTTGGTTACCAACACCTTGGAATAACGCTCTAGTCTTCATGAAGGGTTTACGATTATAGAGTAATATGGAACCAACATCTGGAGTTCATGGCATTGGGCCTTTTGTAGTACTGCACATTTACTCCTGAGCTACTCTAGGAGTAGACTAGGAAGGAATCAGTTCTATATCTCATGCAAGATTGGCAGTTTTAGGAAGCATATGACATGTACAGAGTTCCTGTTGCATAGGTAAATTTTCACTGATACCTTGGCTGGTTGCTGGGGTCATGCTCCTTTCTGTATTGTCGAGACCAATCCTTCCCTACTATTTGTTCCTGGAAACGCCTATGCCCAGAAGTGAGTAGCCTTTCACCCTCTCCTGTACTTCCTCATCCATATCCATAAGGAAACGATGTAGAATCTTGCACACCACACTAAAAGATCCCTGTTTAACCTAGAATCAGTGTCCCTCCACCAAGTTTAGCTAAAATCAGACTTACTTTGGTTCTAAGTCTTTTCTGCTTTTATATACATCTCTGCGTAAACTTTAAAGTTGATTTCTTAATGGACTATAGCTATGAAAATTGTGAGAATATAACATATTTTGAGGAAAATAATCAGGTTAATCAGAAATCATGTCAGTTAGAATTATGCTGCTTATTTTCCCTGTCCTCAGTAGACAAACATTGAAACTGATGTGGTTTAAAACATCTTGGGTCCCCAAAATAAATCGTCTTAAATTAGGATGGCTGAAATTTGTGTATAGTTAATGTTGTACAATATAAGGAGAGAAAGGGCCTATGAAGAATATTTTATGGCTTTACTCCTAAAATAATTAAATTATAACTGTAAACATATTTAAATATTGTTCAACTTATGTTCTGTAAGAATAACCCAGAAATAAATAAGAACATAATAACCTATAGGGGTCAGTATAAACTTAGAATTGGAAGAGCATATTCTGATTAAACACAAGCTATGTCAGTGAAGACAGATTTTGGTATTTATTTTTTAAAAAAAGAACAAGCTATAGTGTTAAAGATACAAACACTCTCTTAAGTTATTATCTTAATCATTAAAATAGCAAGTGAACAATTTTCTTTCTACACAGATTTTCTTTTTTTGCCCAAATCTGAACCAGTAATTCCCATGACAATCAGATATGTTTCTACTAGTGAAGCAGATGACTACAAAAATATAATATTTATTTCAGGCAGAACATAAATAAATTTAGAGAACAAAAGCAAGCACTCATCATGTAAATAACAAAGAGTAGAGAATTCAAATGTTTCTAATGTTTAATATATCATTTTATAATCCTTGAAAATGATTACTTGAAGAAATGCTAATGGCATTTACAGAACATTTTGTATCCCAAGGGCAGTTAGCTAAAATATGTTTAGCACTAGGCCAATGTGGTTCAGTGGTTGAGCATCAACCCATGAACCAGGAGGTCATGGTTTGATTCCCAGCCAGGGTTGCATGCTCCATCCCCAGTAGGGGGCATGCGGCAGGCAGCCGATCAATGATCTTCTCTCATCACTGATGTTTCTCTCTCTCCCTCTCCCTTTCTCTCTGAAATCAATAAAAAAATATTTTTTTAAAAAATATGGAAATCATGTTTATTTTTTCCTATATTGATTTATTTTCTATTAAAAAAACAATTATGTTGACAGTCCTAAACGAATAGCTGTTGCTAAACCTTGTAATATCAGCAATTGTAGAGAAACACAATCTATGACATTATCTATTGAGGAAAATCAGTAGGGTTTCCTTCCTACCTCCTATCCCATCCCCTAAATGCCAATAAAATAGTAGAGCTTTAATGCAAAATATTAAGTTGAACTCTAGCTCACAAAGCAAAATTTCATTTTCTATGTTGTTCTTTCTCAGTGATAAAAGGGTTATATGTAGTATATTATGATGAAATATCTCAACATAACTTCACTTGTCTACTGAATGCGACCTGAAAACATTTGACCACCTTTATATGTGCTGGGGTAGAACAAGTGACTTTCTTGGAAACAAAACTGAGTCTATGGCTTATTTTGGAATTTAACTTAAAAAGTCAGAAATACAAGTTGCCATGAATTAGAACTTTTAGAACGCCAGAAATATGTTGCCATGAATTTTTAACTAAGAAATACCTTGCAGCCCCAATTGGTTTGGCTCAGTGGATAGAGCATTGGCCTGCGGGCTGGAGGGTACCAGGTTTGATTCCAGTCAAGGGCATGTACCAAGGGCATGATCAATGTTTCTCTCTCATTGATGTTTCTAACTCTCTATCCCTCTCCCTTCCTCTCTGTAAAAAATCAATAAAATATATTTTTTTAAAAATACCTTGCAACCTTGAAGAATTTAAAAACTTTTCTTCTTAGCTCATAGGAATATCAAGATAATTTAAAGGCTCACAACATTCAAATCATCCTCTATTCCAGAAGTCTTGATTGAGGAAATTGGAATTAAAGCGATGTGGAGAAGGAAGCAAGGCTTGCAGAAGTGTGGTTGTTTTGACAACAAAACCCATGAGATGCTTTCAATCATTGAGGAGAGAAGCAGGAAGACAAACAACTGAAAGAATAAAGCTTGATTGTGAGTATTATGTAAGTGAATAACAAAACACTTCACCCTCAGTGTGATTGCCAATAATTCCATCATTATAGGTACATCTTATCTGTTATTTGTTGTTTTCAAACCCCCCAGGGGATTTTTAATTTAATATTCACTTACAAGTAAAATAAGATTTTTCAAATGCATTTATTCCTTCCCCAAAATGCTTGCGGCCAGTGTTAGTTGTTGCAAATGGATTGATTTTTTTTTATTCTTTAAGAGCTTTTCAGTTCTTCTTCAATAATACCCTCTTCTGTATGCCTTGGTAGTGGAACAATGTCATAAATTCTTTTGACTTTCACAGCTTGACCTTCCTTCTGTAGTTAAAGTCAGAATGAAGGCTTCATAAAAATCAGGCATTATGCTTGAGAGATTTGTGTAGGCATTATATGTGCCAACCAATAAATATGGTAGCTCTTATATAAATAAAACCAATATTTTGTCTGAGAAAGTAAACAGCTGACTTTTAAAAACCAGTTGTTGATTCTGCATATATTAATATTTAAATAGGTATTTCAATTCCAAATAAGAGTTTTGTTCTATCTACTAGTAGATAT